CCCCCTGGCCTCAGCAACCCACCAGAGTCCCCGGAACTCATCCACGCTAAGCACGCCATCATCGTTGGTGTCGTAGCGCGCGAAGACCGAGGCCACTCGCGACAGCTCCTCCTCGCTGATTCCGTACTTCTTGGCGTCAAAGCCGTACTTGGACGCCCGGTCCAGGGTGATGTAGGCGCTAGCTCCGCCAGGAGATCGGAGGTCTTCGAGGCGCCCTGGCTCTCGTTCTGCGCGGAAAGGAGGGATAAGAAGGACAGTTGCTGAACAGGAGGCGCTGTGGGTGCATGCAGGGTGTAGTGACGGCGCCTGCTTGCAACGCGGCCATGCAAAACAGCTCCCAGTCCCACCTTGAGGAGGCCCTGGATCTCCTTCAGCGCGCCCAGGACCTTGACACTGTTCACCGCCTCGCGAGCCTTGTCCACCGTGGCCAGCCCAGTGGACTGATCCCCCGCAATCTCTTGCAGGGCTGCCAGGTACGCGGCTGATGGTAGGGAGAGTGGGAAGGGAGTGTGTGGAGGGGTGTTGAGAGTGGGGCTGAGGTGCCGATCTGCTGCCTGGGCTCCCGCTACTCCATCGCATGACCTGTTGCAATTTCCAAACTGCAGTGCCAGGGAGGGATCCTGCTGGGTCCCAACCTCACACCACCACGCCCATTCCTGTGCTCACCAGAATTTGTCTGGAACTGGAGGGAGCTGTACAGCAGAACACCCAGCTTGAAGGCATCAAAAACAGCACCTGAAGGGTGGGGGGTGGGATTGTAACATCAGTCACAAAGGCAGCTGTTGTAGGGGCATACTGCTACCCAGTATGGTTCAGGGAGAGCCTGTCACCAACCATGACGGGAGAAGCATGCCCCGAGGCACCGAGAGTGGAGTAAACCATGCATTTGGCCACCCCTGATCTGGACATGACTAGATTGTCCTCCTCCACCCTGTGCCGCGTACCTGACAGGTAGTACCCGGTTACGAAGAAGGCGCCGGCCTGCAGCAGGAAGGTGAAGAAGCCTGCGATCCCGCCGGGGCTGGCGGCGGCCGACAGGTAGCTGCCCGCCACAAAGGAGCCGTAGGCGGCGGCCAGGTCTAGCAGGATCTGGAAGACCACAAACAAGGAGGCCTTTCCTGCTTGCTGGGTGAGCAGCTGTTGGGAGGGAAGAACGGGTGGATGTCTGGTGGCCAGCGTGCCTGGATGCAATCTCAGTTTATACTTCCTAAAGAAACATGAGAGGGCCCTCGCATCCTGCACCCGCCCCATGGAAGGCCAGATCAAGCCAAAGCCTGTCTTGGAGGTCAGAGCATAAGACCCTGCCATTTACGTGACCAGGCTCTCACCTTGCGAAGGTCACCCGGCTCAATGTCCTTGCCCACCGCCTCGCGCCATGCCTTCAGCACTTTGTTAGCCGTCTTGGGATCCATGCCCTGCTTCTTCAGACCCTCCTTCGTCTTCTCTGTCTGTTCCTTGACGGTGTCGTCCTTCTCCTGTTGGGTGGAATCCAGTAGGAAGCGGAGCGGGCGTGAGACGTCACGGTTCCCATCAGGTCCGGCAATGGAGCGACAACATCCTTGATCTGGAGAGTTCGGCTCAGCTCGTCGGGCAAGCCCATTCCCCGCAAACTCACAGGTTCCGCACGGGCCAAATGTAAAGGCCTGCGCGGGCGAATGTTTGTAAATGCGGGCCTCGGGAACAGCCCATGGGGATGCCTTGCCAGCGGCCTCGACGCATGGCAGCAACGCCTCAAAGGTGCCATGTTCAGGCTCATCATAGTATGCCGCAATTTCTGGATGGGATTCGCTTCAAATTGCAGGGTGCAGGGATTGGCGTTCTCAGGATTTGGTATTCTCTCTGGGGGACCCAACAGGAGCCCCCTGGCTTCCCTGTCTCATGAACCGGTTGGGGGGGGAGCCACGTGGCCCGGAGAGAATTGAGTCCGTCATCGCAACGTCAATTATTTTTCCTCGGTGCGACCCCGGAGTCGAGAGATGATGTACACATCTGGCCAGGCAATAATCGGCGCCGTAATGCACGATATGGTTCGTTTCATATGATTGAGCAAGCGATATGAGTCCCTGTGGCAAGCGCAGGAAGTCGTCCATAAACGCGCCCCCACCCGCCTTCATTTTACAACGATGCTTCGCCTTCATGGATGCCCGCACCTTGGCCATCTGCGCCACAGTGTGTCGCCAGTGGAGGGTGGAGGCTCGCCTTGATACCCTATGGCGACCGATTCTGGAGAACGAGGCGTCAGGAATCGTGTACAGCACGCCCATCTGTACAGAGCTTCCGGTATGGCAGCAAGTGCAACTCCTGCGCGCTGAGGCCAGGCGAACCGCCATAACAGTAGAGGAGCTCACATCGTTCACCTGGATATTCACGTGGGTGAAATGAGGGGCTGGGCCAGGGGAGGAAACCCTACTGGCAGGCAGGCTTGCGCACGGGCGTCGCTCGCGAGCAGTCCGCACCGTGAAGAAACTCACCACCTGCTCTCCGACACCACAGGTTCAATGAGAATGTTGAGGAATACTGGAAGAGGCTGGATCCTCATTGGACGGGGTCCGGCCCGCTCATGCGCCGCTACTTCCTTGCGAACGGCCTGACCCTGGCTGCCGACGATGACCCTCTGCGGCTTGTGACCCGCATGACGTGAGGGCATGGGAATTGGTGTCCCTGGTCGATCCATGCATGCCTATGTCGGCACATGCATCGGCTTTCGCCTCTGGAATAATGTGTTGAAGCTGTGTGATCCACCGTCACCCTCGCCCCCTTCCCTCTGCAGGTTCCCGTGGCGTGTGAAAAGGGACAGAGACGGCACGCTCAACTTCTCCAAGATCAAGATAAGCAACTTCCCTTCCCTGCAAGTCACGCGCACGCCCGACGGGGGCTGGCGCATGCACAATAAGTTTTGCCAGTACGTGGCCGATTTTCAATCCAAACAGCTGCTCCACACGCTTTGCTGGCCTGGACGGCCAACCTTGCTGCAGCCCCTTTCTATACTTCGTAGCATGTTGCCCTCGAGCACGTGCTGATTTTCCTCCCTGAAATTACCTTCCTTTGTATCGAGCGCTATACTATGAGATCTTAATTGGTTGCGATTGTACCCTGTCACAGTGAATTATGTGAGCTGTAATATCGCTGCAATTGCCAAGGGTTGCAGCAGGGGCAGACCTCCCCACGTCTTGGTCAGGGAGACAGGGTCCAAGACGCCTCGCAGAAGAGGAACTGGGCAAACAGCAACCGGGCATGCACCCTGCAATTCATGACAAAAGGATCAGCGTGGCTCCCAGCAGGCCCTTCCCCGCCCAAGGCCCTGGAGTTATGGCAAGTGTGACAGGGCGTCCGGCCCTCAGGACCTCACACCTCACCGCCCGTCCAGCGAGCGACGGCAGCACCTGCGCCATGCCCTCCACTGGGCGCGGAGTCTGAGAGCTGACATCGCCAAAGGCCACGAGGCGATCCCCGGGCTGCATCCCGGAACCAGCTGCCGGAGAGCCTGGAGCGACAGCCGTCACCTCTGCAAAAGGAGTAGCTTCTGCTGCGGCAGGGACTGCAGGCGGCGGCGGTGCTCCGTCGCTGGAAGGCTGTGTCCCGGCATCCGGCTGCTGTCGAGCAGCAGCATGCAGGGCGTGCAGCTGAATCTCCATTTCACGCGTGAGTTCTTCCAGGTCATGGCTCAGAACTGGTGGATGTGTAGGTGAGGGAGATTAAGGGTCAGGATTGAGGAAGACGGGTTTGAGATGGCGAACACAAGCTAGGCAACAGTCCTCAGGTGAAGGCGTCCAGCACGCCTATGGAACACGCGCATCAAAGTTCCCTCATCAACACATTATACGACAAGATGCAAGGTTCGATGGGTGGCGCTGTGCTGCCTGACCTCGGACTTTTTGCCGACCGGCTCGAATGGAGGGTATGTCGAGATCCGCTCTTGGAAAGCCCTGCAAGGCGGTACAACGGGACTGACGTCGCACGTAATCCCATAGCGTGTCCAAGGTGGAGTCTTCGAATACCTACAATGCATCAGAGTGCACCAGTCACACCTCACCTCAGCATCCACAAGGGGTGCGTGAAGTCCTACGCCTGAATTCTGCAGGCGATAGCTGCAGGTAGCGATCTCGGCCTCTAGTTCCTCCTTCCGGGATTGAAGTGCCTTCAGCACCGTTTTGGGATCCTCTTGGGTCATGGGAGGATGAGGGTTGTCTCTCAGAGTAACTCTTTGTCAGTGTTTCACGGAGTGATCACCGTATGGTGGGACGCACGGAGGACGAAAGCGACCCGCAAAGCCCGCTTTGGATCGCGTGATTCACCAGGATCAACGTCGCAACAATAATGAGAACCATATGCCATGCCGTTGGATTTGTTGAGCTCATACATTGTGGTGCCCGTAATCCTTGCCTTCCGTCGTCGGTGTTTCCTGCCTTGTGTACTATTTATCGTCTCCGGACATAACATCGAATGTGGGTACCTGCGTGGCACACTCTTGGGGCCTCTCATGTCAGGGATGGCATGGCGTCATGATTCAGGAGACAACATCCTGCATCCACATTACAGTATACCACCCGAAGCTCTGTTGTGGGCTTTCTGCACTATACATGCAGGCGCAGGCCTGTATTCACCTCTGGGCTACAGCGAGTTGCTACATCAAAACGAGCTTCCGTTGTTGGGGTGTCCATGGGATTTTACCATGAAAGCTTCTCCAAAATTGAGGCGCTTATGCACAGGGAATCACTGTTTATGGTATTCACAGCCTGGAAGCATATCTTACCTCAGCTGCCGTCATGAGTTTGAATTATCTGGCGGGCGCACGTCCAGTGCACACATGCACAGTCAAGCTTGGTGGCAGGTCGAATCTTCACGCCGTCCCTATGGGCACAGAATGAATGCTATGATCACCCTCGGCCCGATCGAGCCATCACCCCAGTCCAACCGACCTCAACCTTGTAGTTTCATAAGTTTCACTGCACTCGCCTCGCCGTTCGAACAGCCCGTAGAAATGGGTATACGACTGGAACCCGATTCTTCCCGGTTTTCGGTCAGTGTCCCATCGGCGGTTCCGCAGGTCGTTCTTCCTTTCTTTCTATGCCCGCCAGGTCAGAATCTCGGCCCCAAATGGGTAAAATCCGATGGTGTAGGATTGTGCTTTGCAAAATTTGAAATTTCTGCTCCCTCCTGTCTCGATATGGCTGCCTGCACCATGATTACAGCAATTGGAGCCACAGGTGGGTTGTCATGGGGCCGCATTTCCCCCAGCTGCTGCTCGACTCCCTCCGTCCGACCGTTGGCCGGTACATACCACGCAGGAGTGGCCGCCAGGCCCACACAGGCGCGGTACGCGCTGCCACATGCACAGATTGGCAGCAGGATCCCATCCGTGCAGGCGGTTGGGCGGTCGACGCCCGCTCCCGGGCCTCTCATGCGACAGGTGGGCCTGAATCCTGACGAGTCTCGGAAACTCGGCGCAACTCTCCATGCGCGGCACATGGGGCGACAGGGGTTTTCGAGAACCGTTTTACAGCGTGTCATTGTATTTTTCCGGGCCTCGATGTCGCCCGCGACACCGTACAACACGCCTTTCCTTGCCCGCTTCCTCGCAGCGCTCGGCCAGGGGGATGACGCCCGTCCAGGCTTCCTCCTCCTCCTCGGCCAACATCGGCAACCCGGCCCCCGGTGACCTGAAGCCCAACACGGCCTGGGTCTCCTACAACACCTTGGCCCTGCTGTACGGTGCTCTGGGAGTCGCCTCCCTGGTGGCCCCCATTGCTCTGGTCGAGCAGGCTTTCTTTGCCACCCCCACCGTCGTGGCGGCCGACGCGATCCGCATCCTGGGCTCCACGTTTGTGCTGGTCGCGCTCATCGCCAACCGCCTCAGCGTACGTACCTTGGTTTTTCATTCCTGAAGTGGGTTATGACTTGCAAAGAGGGTAGGTTGCCGGGGTGGCACCCTCACAGTTCGGTATTGCCTGGTTCCCCCCGCCCCTGGCCCAGCCGATTGCATAATTTATGACAGCCAGGGGTGGGATTTTGCATCCCCAGACCCCGTAGGACACCGTAGGACACCGTACACCCCTGAATCTCGATCCATCAGTGCCTCCTCAATACTGGCACCCACCCACATCCTTTTATGCGCAGGCGGCGGTGGACACCAACCGCCTGGGCAATGACACCTACAAGCGCCTGAACCTGGGCCTGGTTGTGTACGGCGTGGCCTCCGCCGTCATCCTCTGGACCTCCCCCGCCCCCGCCACCTCCGTCACCCAGGCGTGAGTAGGTGTACAGGGGGCTCCCAAGAGGCCGGGGGGCGGAGAGCGGGCATCATGCCCTCGCCTCCCCCGCTCGGCATGATCCCAGACCAGCACCCTCCCCTCCTGTCACACACTCTGCCTCTCACCACCGTCACCACCCCCACCCCCAGGCTGGCGACGGCGCTGAGCGCCGCCACCACGATCGTGGCGGGCCGCGCCTTCCTGTCCTCCGAGGGCTCCAGCCTCTCCCCCGGCGCCCTGCTCAACGGCCTGGGCAATGCCGCCAAGACGGTGCTGGACACCAAGAACCTGACCACGCTGACCTACGGCGTGGCCTCGGTGCTGGCCAGCATCGCAGGCGCGGCCCTGCTCTACGGCCGCCTGCCCGGGCTGGAGGACTACTGGCTGGTGCACCCCATCGGGTCGGTGGGTGTGTATGCGCTGCGCCAGCTGGGCGCAGGCGCCCTGCTGGCCGCCACCGTGCTCTACACGCTCAAGGACGCCGCCGGGCGAGGCCGCCTGCGCGCCACCACCTTCAAATCCCTGAACGCGGGCGTGGCGGGCGTCTCCGCCGCCGTGCTCTTCACCATCGCGGGATGGGTGCGCTCCGGCTCGCTGGCCACCTCGGTGATCGCCACCAGCGAGCTGGCGGCCGCGGGCTGGCTCCTGGCCACCGTGCTCTACCAGTACTTCTACGCGCCGCGCGACGCGGTGGAGGACATCAAGTCCGCCTACTGAGCCACGCCGCCGGTCGGGCGGGCGCCCGCGCCCCCGGCCGTGGGTCCCCCGGCCGCCAGGAAGGGCGAGGGCGCCAGCCGCCTCCTTCCCGCTAAAGACCTTGCCCACCCTGTGATTAGCGAGGCGATCCACGCACTCCAACACCGACAGACGCACCATGAGTCGTACCCCCCACACCCAACCCCACACACTACCATGCACCCCTCCCCAGTTTTGACGAGCACGATGCGATTCGCTGTACCCTCCTTGACGCCCTTTCCCGCAAGCCGAGTGATATGCAGTGGTGAGGAGGCAGGAGCATGCAGTCTGCCCTTCCCGTTCAGTGATGCATGAAGCCCTACCCTGCTGACTGCATGTATGTATGACCGGGTCGTATCGCCCCCCCCCCCTCCTGTAAGACACCCGCCCCATCCCATGAGGGACAGGAGGTTCCAGGGGTGATGCCGAGGTTTGCCCTGCTCATCACTGCATGCCAACAATCGGGTTCCATCGGCTGCAGGGCAAGAAGGGGTTGGGTGCAGCTCACCAATGGCGGGGTGGGGTTCAAGAGGTTGTTCAGGTCTTCAGATTCCCTCGAGGAACGGGAGGCGACAGGATCACAGGTACTTCTCGTCACCCGCCCCGTCCGGCACCGCCTAGCGATACCTCAGAAGAAGGCCGCCTCCGACTCGGTCTCCTGGCCCAGCTTGAAGTTGCCGGCCTCCACCACGGCCCTCAGCCCAGCGGCGTCGCCGTCTGCCAGGCCCAGGCAGACCTGCACACCAGCACGCTTCTCCTCCGCGCTTTCCTTGGAGACGTAGAGCGAGTACAGGTCCGCCAGCTCCTCCGCGGGGCTCCAGGACAGCGGGGCGTCCGAGGGCGCGGCCTTCTCCACGGCCAGCAGGTTGTTCAGCGCCTTGACCGTGTCGTCATACTTCTTTTGCCGCAGGAAGGAAACTGCCTGGGGGTTGAGGGTGTGATGGTGTGTGTGTCAGGTGAGTGAGAAAGCAAGGAAGAGAAGGGACAGGGGACGAGGTGCTCGGGCCAGCCTGTTCCTCCACATCGCAAAGGCATGCTGATCGTCCCGATATTGCTTTACACCATATGTAGGCCAGACAACCCACCTCTGCGGTGCACCTTTTTTCAGTCGATACCACCAGCCTGACCAAGTGACGCCCCCCGGGCAGCGCCATCCCTCACTCAACACACACACACACCACACACCCTCCCACAGACACACCTGCACGAGCGTCGTCCGTCGCCGGTCGCGGGCCAGCTCCTGCACCAGCTTCCGCGCTTTCCCAACCTCGATGCCCAGGGCGGCCGGCAGCTCCTCCACAATGCGATCCGTGGCAAACTCGCCGGTGCCGTCGGTCAGGCGGGCGATGGCCTCCTGGCGGTACAGCTGCAGGCGCAGGTCGGCAGAGGTGAGGGAGGCGACGTCCACCCCCGCCTCTTTGAGCTCCAGCAGGAAGGGCAGGGTCAGCTGGCCCTGTGCCTTGGCAGCCTGACGAGAATTCAAGAAAGGGGGATGAGAGGTGACGACATCGCGAGTGGAGGTTGCAGCATGGCCCGCGTGAAGAAGGCATGACCGTGCATCCCCGGCAAGATGTGTTGCTCGCTCAATGTATTAAATTACTTCCATCCTCCTTCTAAACCGCCAGGGGCATGCCCAGCCCCCTATGCACACAACCCATCAAAACCATCACCCCAAGCCACCCGCCTACCGCCCGCCCACCCGGACTGCCCACCTGCATCCCGGCGATCAGCTTCTGGTTCTGGAAGCCCTTGAGCACCTTGTCCGCGGTCTCCTTGGGCAGCCCCATGCGCTGGCGCACTGCCTCCAGCCCCGCCAGCCGGTCCGGGGTCAGGGCGCCCTCGCCCATCACCTGCTGCACCTGGCTCTTGAAGGCCTGCTCCGCCAGGTCGGAGTGCACGGTGGCGACCTCCACCTGCGTCAGCCCCAGCACATCGCCCAGCTGCGCCAGGCGCGCAAACTCGCTCTCGTCGCGCTCTGCGCGGCAGGGAAGGGGGGACGAGGGTGGGTGGGTGGTGGGTGGGTGGGGAGGACGGGGTGCACGCCCCGTCTGTGGGGAGGTGCGCAAAGCGCAGCGGCGCTGGCGCGGTGCAGGAATGCAGGAGTATCCACCACCGTTGGACAACAAGCATCCACACTTGATCTACTCACCGATGACCATGGTGACTCCCATGGGCCCGCTGGACACGTCGCCGGTCATGCAGTACAGCAGGAAGTTGCGGTACACATCCAGCCTATGAGATGGAGGAGTGATGACATCTTCTCAAGGCGGCCCCAGCGTCGGGAAGCGGATCAGAGGCCGGGCGGTGTGGCTGACGACTCTTCCAAGACAAGGACCCAAGCAGTTCCGGGTCGTCTGCCGGCACACCCTTGGCCCTGTGCTATCCGGTACGCTCCCTCCCCCAGGACAAACACCTAAATAAAGGCACCTGTCCCTCAGGTCCAGGTCGTCGGCCAGGGTGATGTCCTTCTGGGCGTACACAATCTGGTCGCCCACCTTCTCCCCCGCCTTGCGCGAGTCGGCCGCCGCCTGCGCCTTCTTCAGCGAGCTGGGCGCGCCGTCGGCGGTGGATTCGGTTGCCTCGGCCACGACGGGCTCGGCCTTCTCCGCTGCCACCGCCTCCTCCATGCCGGCATCGGCTGCCTTCTCTGGCTCATCACCGGGAGTCTTCACCTCGGCAGCCTCCACGTCCACGACGCCCTCCTCTGCCGTCTTCTCCCCCCCAGCAGCAACGGCCTGGCGCCTGGCCTCCTCCGCCTTGTCGCGCTGCATCTTGGCCACCATCTCCTGCACGCGGCGCTCGCGCTCCTCCGCCTCGCGCGCCGCGGTGCGCTCCTCCGGCGAGCGCAGGTCGTCCACCAGCGGCGCCAGCACCACCGAGCTGAAAAGCACCATGCGCTTGAGCTCCTTGGCCCCGTCCACGCGGCTCTTGGTCTTGCGCGCGTTGGTGATGAACTGGAGCAGGTGGCGGCGGCCGGCCGCCGCCAGCAGCCGCCGCGCGACGGACAGGTCCAGGCGCAGGTCGCGGCGCGCCTCGCGCACAGCGCCGCGCTCGCGCAGGCCGAACCCCTCGGCCCCCGCGGCCAGCGCCTTGTCCAGGGTCTGGGAGTAGATGCCCCCCGCCAGCTCGGCGTGCAGCGCGTCGCGGTCGGCGGCGGGGACGCAGAGCAGGCGCTGCAGGCGGTCCAGCTCGCCCGCGTCGGCGTCGGACAGCGCGCGCTTCTCCAGCAGCGCCGCCAGCTTCTGGCGGTACAGCCCCGCGTGCAGCGCGGCGGCGGCGCCGGGGTCGAAGCCCACGCGCTCCACCAGGTCGCCCAGGACCGCGGCGGGGGAGGGCGCGGCGTCCAGGCGGCCGCTGGTCACCTCCTCCCGCAGCCGGCGGCGGTACACGCGCTCCTTCACCTCCTCCTCCACGCCCGCGGCCTCCTTGGGGCCCAGGCCCAGCGCGGAGCGCAGGTCGGCGGCGTCGCGGGTCTCGGCCGCGCCGTAGGCGCCGTCACGCGCCAGCCCCTCCTCCACAAAGGTGCGGAAGAGGTCGCGGAGGTCGCGGCCACGCCCCTCAGCCGCCGCCCACTCCGACCCCGCCACCGAGGTGGGGCCCACGCCGGGGACGACGCCGGGGGCGCCCGCCAGCCGCGCCAGCGCGCGGTTGAACTCCACCGCGCCGCGCAGCTCGGCCACCGCCTCCGCCAGGTCGCGCTGGCGCGCGCGGCGCTTGACCACCGACAGGGCGCGGTCGAAGAAGCCCTGCAGCGTGGCGCGCGCGGCTTCGCGCACCACGCCCTCCGCCTCCTCGTCCGCCAGGCGCACCGACTCCTTGACCTCGCGCAGTGAGGTCAGCGCCTCCTGCGTCGGCACCAGCACGCCGCCGCGTGCTGCCAGGGCGGCCTGGAACAGCGCGCGCGCGTTGTCGCGCCGCGCGACGTACACCTGGGCGTCGGTGAGGCCGAAGGCCCGTGCCCAGGGCGTGAGGTAGGACCGCTCCGCAAACACAAGGTAGGAGACGTAGATCAGCTTCTGGAAGGCCTGTTTGTTTTGGTGTGGGTGGATTGGTGGTGTGGGAATGGATGCGTGGTTGTGCTCCACAGGGAGGGGAGTCAGCGGCTGGAGGAGGAGGGGTGTAGCGCGGCGTTCACTGACCCCTCTGACTCGATGCTGTCGAGTCTGCAGGCAGCCGAACCACCCAAACTGATTGCCAGAACGATGCATGAGGGTCAACTGGGCGACCCGGCCCCACCTGGTCCCATGGGCCAACCCCATGATACTCCACGCCATGCCCACCCACCCCTCCCAACGCCAGTCCACCCCATCACAGCCCACCTTTCGTGCCTCCACGTCCTCGCGGCGGCTGCCCGCCTCCAGGCGGCCGCGCAGGATGCGGCGGCCGACGTCAACGTGCACGGGTCCCGCCGCCTCGTCATCCAGCCCCAGCGTCTGCTTGAAGGCCGAGATGCGGGTGTGCTCGTCGCCGCGCAGGGGGGCGTCGCCCGCGGGAATGGTGGCCTCGATGAAGGTGCCGTACAGCGACTTGACGGCCTCGGGGTCGATGGCGGCCAGGGGGGCGCCGGCCTGGGCCTCCAGCGCCGCCACCTGGTCGCGCGTGAGGTCGGAGGCGCGGGGCAGGGAGACCAGCAGGTTGTGCAGCTGCGCCACGGCGGCGGAGCGGCGCAGCGTCAGCAGGCGGGAGGTGACGGCCGCGGCCAGAGCGGCGCCGATTGCCGCAGCCACCAGCCGCCCGACGCTGCGCAGCGACTCTGTGGATGGGAGGCAGTTCAAGGTGGAAATGAGGAGCAGAGGGTGGCTGGAGACATGGGAGCGGGTCGGCACGGCAGGCGGGTCACAAAGGAGGCTACCGGGCCAAGGGTGCGTATGAAAAGAGGAGCATGAGCCCAGCGACCCCACCGTCGCCTGCCAGCCTCAAGACAGGACCCCCGGGTACTCCTCCTCTTGCATCAACGCACCAGGGAGGAGCCGGGCGGCCAGGGACCAGCCGCCGAAGCCGAGCGCGGCGGCCAGCGCGGCGCCCAGGGCGTACACCCCGGCGACGGGGAGGCCGAAGAGGGTGGCTGGCAGGCCTTGGACGGGGCGCGGCTGGGTGAAGGGGTTCTGCACAGGGTATGGGAGAGGCGGGGGCACCCTCGGTCGAGCATCACCGCGCACGGTGCGGGGCATGGGGCGCTGGACCGCTGCCTGGACCCCAGCAAAGACTGTACACAACACCCCCTCCTCACCTCTCCCACGGCTGCGTCCGCGCGGCAGATGGCAATGCGAGGGCGCCTCGTGACGTGAGAAGCGGAACGGATGATGACGGGCATGGGTGCCTGCGCCCCGAGCCGTGCCGGTCGGAAGCTGAGGGCCTTGGTCGGGACCATCACCCGGCCCGGCGCAAGAGGCCGGGAGGCCATCGCTTGGAGCCCCGCCACCATTTTGGCAGGTGGATGGAGGTAAATTGAGATGATGTACCCTCATGCATGGCAAGTTTTGGGCTGCAATGCACCCCTGCACAATCCGAGTGCATGCTGTGCCACGGGTGCAACGTTTCTGGATGAGGCTCCGTGATGATGGGGCGCCCTGAATGAGACTCGCGCCCGAACCACACCAACACTCAACCACACCCTGTATGAGTAACAACCTCATGCTCTCGTGATAACATCGTCCCAGAGCGTGTGCGGCGTGGTGTCAAGGTTTGGCGGGGTTCGTGAGGCAGGGTGATCCGTAACGTCAGTCTGGCCGGCCCGCCCCGGCTCGACTGCCGGGGCGGGCCCCGTGGTGTCAGGCCCCGGAGATGGCCCACCTACTCCTCCACGGCCGTAAGGGCAGCCAGTTCGGCCATGAGACCCGTCTCCCGCTCGCACAGGGCCTGGAACTGGGCCTCCAGCGCGGCCCGCGCCGCCCTGTCCTCGTCTGCAGCAGAGTTCATTGGGGGGCATTTGAGCATGCATGTCTTTGATCTCGAGGGCTACCCCTCGTGCTGTCTACGCCTTGCAAAATCACGCACAGTATTGACCACCCCATGGAATGCAGTTGCCCTCCGCAAAAACTATGCACGCACCCTCAGCGCTGCCCTGTTCCAGCAGGCCCAGCTCTGCCGCCAGCTCGATCTCCTTGCGGTCCAGTAGGGAGTACAGGCTCTGCAGCTCGTCCTCGCCCGCGACCTGGGGATTTGCAATCGTTTTGTGAGACGATGTGATCTGAGACCAGCGGTGATGTGCGCATGGAGGGGCACCCTATAGCGAGTCACCCATGTCACGATATCTCATCCCACTTGCCCTGCTGCCACCCGACCCAGCGCTGTTTCCCAGCCAACGCAACGTACTTGCAGACGTGCGTCGAGCCACAGGGGGTCGAAGGGCGCCGCTGTGGGCAGGGGCCCCGGCGCCGTCCTCCGCTTCTTGCTCGGTTGTCGGTCTGTGGGGTGGGTGGGTGAGTGGGGGGCTCCATTAAACCTCTTGCATGACCGAAGTAACACACACCGCAGTCAGTCCAACCCCAACACAGTTCAGGATCCTCCCAAAACCCTGTGCCCCACCAGACGCGACGGCGGCGGATGCGGCCAGGGCCGCAGCAGGGCCGGGTACAGGTGCCTCGCTCGGCCGCTCCGCCACCCGTCTCGAGCCGGGCATGGTCTTTACGTCCACAAACTCTCCCAGCACATACTCGGCCTGGGGGGAAAGGGAGCACACCAGGGGTGGTCGGTCAGATCCCGGAATGCATGTTGACGAGGATCCGGGAACTGAGCGCGGGCAGGAACCACAATGCACACGTCCATTCCTCGAGGTCAATTTCGGCATACCACCCCCTCCCTGAGCATGTGCGCGCACCGGGTCGGCGTTGGCAAAAGAATAGCCATCCTCCAACGTCTCGCGCTCCCCCTGGTTGGGGTCGTACAGGATGGAGTGCATCCCGGTGTCTGCATGGCATGGAGGGAGGGTGCGAGCATGGGATGGTGTGAACTCACAGACGGCAGCTTGTCGACCTGGCACGCAGCCCTCTCACTGAAGCAACCCAGCAAGCGCCACGCTCGGCACCCACGCGCACCTGCGTCATACTCATACACGTAGCCCTCCACCCAGGGAGGAGTCTCCGAGGGCCAGTACCGCCTGTGGGACGGGAGAGGTGGTGCCGAGAGGTGGACAAGGACGGGCGGCAGGACAGCGCGAGGGCGTAGGCCCGGTCCCTGGCGCACTCGCATCGAGCCTGCAAACACCAAAACGGACATCAGCCCCGTTGTAGGACCACCCACCACCTGGTGCCCCAGTTCACGCCCGTCCCCGGCCCCTCCAGCAATACACCGTACTCACCAGACCCGCCGGCCGACATACTCATATGGGTCTGCCGCGCCGGAGGCACGGTGGCCAGCGGGGCGGGAGCCTTTGGAGCGAGCGGGGGTCCTGTTCTGCGGGTGGGCACGGGGCGTGCTGGCGACCCCCGGCAGGGCTCGGACTCCGGCGGAAGGCTTGCGGGGCCTAATGGGAGGGAGGAAGGGGTTCAGGGGATATAAGCCGCTTCAAAGAGAGGGTGGTCTGGACACCAACACCAATTGAGTGCGAGATCCTGATGGGGCTGGGCACATCTGTGCAGTTCACCCAGCAATCCAGCACATGCCTCCGAATCCCTCCAGGCCAGGCGTCCTTCTCCCCCCATCGCCCTCTCTCAAAGACGAGGCTACGTACCCTACGCCAGTGGCTACATAAGGGACCTTCCCCGTCAGTGGCTTGGCGCGGGCGACATGGCCGCCCCCCGCTCGAATGGCCTGCATCTCCTCCTTGACCGAGACCAAGACATCCTGCCAGGGCAGAGGACGCCAAGTGACATACAGTCTATCAGAAAACAGAGGGGCTGGACGATCATGCAAGCAGGCCTGGTCTTTCTTTTTCGGACAGCCACAATCAACAGGACAGGTGCATCCAACTTGCTCAATGCCCACTGAACTGTCTGCAGCCCTTCCGTCGCCTCATCCTCCCTGCCCCTCACCGCATGCTGGTTGTTGTCGATGCTGAGAATGCTGCGCAGTTTGGTCAGAATTTCCTCCTTCTCCTGCGTTCATCAGGAAGGCTGTCCTTCAGAACAAGTGCACCCACCCACGACAAACCCCAACCTTGCAAATAAGCTCACAAGCTCGCAGGCCCCGTCTAGGCTGCAAATTGCATACTTCAGTGCAGCAAGACTCACCCAGTCGTATGTCCCCGCGTAGATGGCCCGCATGACAGCGGTGTACCCCTCAATCTCCAGCTCCCGGAGGAGCTCGGGTGGTGTTTGTGACATTCCAGGCACCACCACCACGAACGTCAGCGCCTGGCAAAGCGAGCCCTAACAAGGACCGGAATATATTCCTAGTGATCTCAGAATGTCTTTGGGATGCTCCAAAGCTCGTGTTGCTGCTGAGCAACCGCGCTTGGTCCTAGCAGTTTTCCGACAGTCGAAGGTGTGACAGGATCGCTCCAAGCCTTCCAAGCTAGGGATAAATACCAGTACACACTATGATGCAGTCCAAGCGTTTCACATGGGCAATGCGAGGCTGTGGGGCCGAGTTCGGCATTCGCTGGGGATCTGCCTCTCTGATTTTGGCGGGTGCTCCTCACTTCACCCTCTGCGCGCGAAAACGACCGGACATGATTTCGTGTGAAGTCGGATGCCAGCGACGATTGGTGAACCATTGACACCGGGTACACCTATTTGTCGTGCATGGTATCGACCAGGCCGCGTTTCTGAGGCTGTGGGCCTGCAGCGTGCCAGGGTGATCAGTTGCCATGGCTCAAGCAGCACTCGATGCACTCGTCGACACATCCCCTCGCGAGTACTTTACTCGCGTGGGCCACCAGACCCGCCTGCAGGCACTCCATGCCCAGTGTGCAGAAGCGGGGCTCTTCACGGCCTCTGCCACCGCAGATGATGTGTCCCGCCTCTTTGCCCTGTTCACACTGAGTCTGGAGAATGGGTTTGGCACCCTGGTGGTGGATTACCTCGCAGAGGTGCGTGGTGGCGGGTCGCATGGGGGGATTGACGTGCCAACCCGGCACAGTTTTGATGATCTACCAACCATGCGCTGTTGCGAGACCATCTGGGGATCTGCCTTGACCCGAAAATCCCCCAACATTCTCAAACAGCTGCCCTCCAAACCCACCCCTCCACCACCAGGTGTGCTTTGACACACAGCTCACTAGCAGCGACCCGACCCAGGCATTCCTCATGGACGGCCAGTGTGTACGGCGCTGGTTGCAGAGGACGCTCTCTGTCATCAGATCGCGGGTGGTGACGGCTCTGGGCCAAGGACTGGGGGCCCCCACCAGTGCAGGTATGGGTGCGCCTGGGCAATCATCTGTATGTGGGGCCATCATGCAACCGCCGCAATTGCCAGGATGGACTTTTCGTTCCTATTCATGGATGCACAAGATTATTGATGTGCGCCTTGGCCATTCAAGCCATTCCTGAGGTGATGTTCTCACCCCAAACCATGGCATGCCTCGCATCCGCCACCTCGTCCCTCGCACCAGCGGTCTGTCAGCGCACCCCTCCCACCCATGCTCCACGATCAAACACCCAGGAGTGCTGGCCCGCGCGACCGCCGAGCTCTCCTCCCTGCACCTGGTGGCACACGCGCTGTCCCCCCCGACGTCCTTGGGCAAGGGGGCGGCCGCCGCCGACTCCGACGAGACCGAGGTGGCGCGGGCCCTGCAAGCCGCACGAGCAGGCGCCTGGGTTGTGACCCAGGGGTGGGGTGCCAGGGCCCCCCCGCGCTTTGCCTCGGAGGCGGAGTGGAGGAGCGTGGCCGCCCGGCGGCGGGCGGCGGCCGCCGCCGCGACCCCCGGCGGCACCGCTTTCTTCGCCGATGCGTGTGCCGGTCTGGCCGGGCTGCACGCCTGCCCCGCCATCTCCTACCCCGCCCCCAGCCTCGAGCGTCTCATCCAGAGCCTGTTCCTGGCTGGGGCGAGCGGGAGCGCGGCCCTGCACGCCAAGCTCATGCTCCTTGCTTTCCACCTCGCGGATGGGGGTTGGTGCGGGCGGCGGGAGCTCCTGGACCAGCTCTGGTGAGGGGCTGGGAGGGTGGGGTCGAGGGAGGGGAATTTTGGGGAGGGGTGTCTTGCAAGGGCAGAGGGGGGCTCTGCTGTGCGCCCGATCCGTCCAGTGCACATTCTCCCTGAGTGCCACGCACCGAAGCGAGGATGCTGAAGGCGCCCCACCTCATCAAACACTGTGCAGGCTGACGTGGCACGTGCAGCGTGACGTGGGCAGCGCCTGGCTGCTGCAACACTTCCTGGATGCCTCGCTGGTGCCCGAGCACCCCTCCGGCGTGTCTGCCCTGGAGGAGGCGGTAGCCTGTGCCGGCGGTGGGTTTTGTGCGGGGAGTGCAGGGGAGGGGTAGGGCCCTGGAGTGCCGTGTGCTGTGTGTTGACGGGGCGCATGTCTGTTGCAGACCTACCCCGTGGCCTTGCACCAAGGCCAGCGAGGCCGCGACCGAGGCAGGATGAGTCGTGTGTGCTGGCCAGAATCCAGCGCTTCGACGCGGCGTGGTGCGCCATGGCACGGGAGGGCACCCCCTCAAACCTGCCTTGTTCCACGGCCCACCATGCACAGACGTGAGCGGGACGCAGCTACCCCTCAAGGCCCTGCGAGTGCTGCTGGAACGAGGCAGGCCAGAGGCCGCGCTGCTGCTGGCCAGGCAGAGGTGCCTGCCCGCCCAGACCAGGGACCTGGAGGAGGCGTCGGCCGCGCTTTCCATCTGCCTCGCCAGCGGCCTCCTGGCCGAGGCGGTGCTCAGGGTGCGTCCGTGTCGGGCTGGCGCAGGGTGATGCTTGCTGGGTAGGGGTCCTACGAGGCACCCTGCCGAAGCCGGGGTGCCCCCTGTCCCTCATCGTTCGACGGTGTCCTCTACATATGCTCGCAGATGAAGCAGCACCTGAGGGAGGTGGAGGAGGCGCAGCGGGCACAGCATGCGGATGCCCTGCTAGGGCAGCTCTTCGAGTGGGGCGCAGCTGCCCAGCAGCTGCATGCCCTCATCCGGCTCCCATTCACGGTCGTGGAGGAGGAGGTGGGTGAGAGGGAGGGATGCGCGTCTAGGGATGTTCGCATGCACAAGCCCCAGGCGCCCTCATTGTCAGACATGTCGTTTGGAGGGCCCCATGACGCCTCCGACCGCTCCTGGCGGAGTGTGTTCCTCGCCAGCTCCGCCACGAGTAAAGGCCTTCCTTCTGCGAATGTCATCCGCAGGGATGCTCCCTGCACCCGCTGATAGCCGCCTCTACCAAACACCCACCCACCCACACTCACACACAGGCGGCCCTGGCATGGCTGAGTGCCCAGGCGGGCAGCCACCCCCCCGCGGCCGCGATGTGGGCGCTCTACTACCTGGAGCGGGGCCGCACGCCCGAGGCGCTGTTCGCCTACGCCCACGCCTTTCCCCCCGGCCCGCCCACCTCCGAGCCCCAGGCGCAGCTGGTGGCGCTGATGGAAAGGGCGGCGCGTGACCTGCCCACCGTCTATGCCTCCCTGGTCGTGCGGGTTGACCCCGGCGCCCGGGGCCCCTCGCTGCGGCCGCTGAGCGGCGGCGACGACGAGCAGGGCGCAGGCGAGCGCACGGACGTGGCGCTGGGCTTTGCGCTCCCCACGCCGGCGCTGCCGGGGGCCGGGCGGAGGCTGCTAGCAACGGGGCCCCGCCTCCGGGACTGCCCCCTGGTGTGCCTGCCGGAGCGGGTGGCCCGGGGAGGGGAGGGGGAGGAGGGCGCGGGGGAGGACAGGCTGCCGGTGTGGCCCGACCTCACCCAACTGTCGGCCAAGCTGGTGGGCGCCGGGAAGGAGGGCGGGGGGCGGGCGACCATGCGCATTCCCGTGTCCTAGGGAGCCCTACAATGGGGAGCGGCATTGCCATTCAGCCTGACTTTGAAGCCATTGCAAGAGCTGCTTTGTATTTGAAACTGCCACAGAGATGACCCGAGACAGTCGACAGGTACTGACAGGCGATGGAGGTCATATTCTTTTCCTGTGTACCCGTAGAGAGAAGGGTGGTGCCCCCAACGCTGCTGTGCGTGGCGTGCAAGGCATTCTCGCCCCTTCGGGACTTGGAAACGAATACTCAGTGCTGATCCAGGCCCATCCTCAAATACATTTCAAAGAATAAAGAAATATTATAAAGATAATCTTTAGCCTCGACGGCTCGTCCCTGGCGCCTAGATCGGGATGGTAAATTGCGGGGTGATCACCAGGAGCATGCTCCTTGTGGCCGCCCTTCTGCTCGCCCTGACCTCCTTACAGGCCGCAGCAGCCAGCAATTTTCCAGCAAAGTGCAGTGCATGCGCTTGGATAGCGGTGAGACAATGATTAACCTCCATCTGTTGTTCGGTGACCGGTGAAGGCCTCTTTTAACATTCCTCTTCACATGCCATCGAGCAGAGGCCTGAATAACCCGCATGCAGGAGGTGTTGCGCAAGAGGATGGATGCTGAGGTGCCTCGCAACCATCTGGATCTTCGTCACAGGCTGGACGCTCAGGGAAATCGGTATGGCAAGGTCATCGACTACAAGTACGTCGGCGGGGCCTCGCTACTTCCCGTAAGGGGGAATTGGCCATGCCTGGCTCCTACAAGAAGGAATCAGAGGGTAAACAGCGCAGCAAAAGCTCATCCCATTCCCACTGCCCTCTCCCAGGATCAGCGAGCTTAGGAGCATCGAGCTGCTGGATGATCTGTGTGACGACCTGAAGAAGGACTATGACTACAACAGCACATCTGGTGCCTGGGAGAGCACGAGCGGGAAGCCTGCCAGCGGCGACGGGTGAGGGTGGCGGCACAGATACCTCTGTGCCGTTTCAATGCGCGCATATGCAGACATCCTGTATTGGGCCATGCAGTCTTGTGTGTGCACCATTGGCGGAGAGTCCGCAGAGCTCCATTGCCCACCAGACATGCGCACACGCACATCTGCAGCCTGGATCGCAAAGAGAACCAGCGGCTCCTGGACAATTACTGCGGGATGCTGATGGAGGAGCACGAGGACGCCCTGTCCGCTGCGCTCCGCAGCGGCAAGCTTACCGCATCGAGTGGGTGTGGGTTGGGGTGAGGCAAGCAGGAGGGCAGGCTGCGGTGACTTCTTGCATTGAATCGCTGGGAGTGGGGCGGGGCGCTCTTATTAGTCCAGCCGGGCGTCCAAGTAGATCCTGCATATGCTTGATGCAGCCTTGATCCCTCATCTAGGTCAGCATCCCCCGTCCAATGCAGATGCGGCGGATGTGCTGTGCCGCCAGACCGCGGCCGTCTGCTCTGAGGAAGGCCTCCAGGCGCATGCTGCCGTCGGTACCGGCGGACCTTCAGTACCAGTTTCCAGTGCAAGCAAGGTCCTCAATGCTGAGCTGGAGTCGGCTGCCAAACCTGAGCTCTAAAGGCAAGCTACGTGAGTCCTTCAAGCCGGCATGGCAACCTGCTGGGTGGCCGTGCAGGCCAGCCGGCTCAGCAGGAGGCAGGGGTGTGCAACCTGCCAGCAGCCCATCCAGTGGCTTCCGGCCTGTGCGAAGCACCCCACACCAGCATCCCCCCCCCCGTGACCCCCACCAAAAGATTGACGCCGTCCTTGAGCAGCACGCGTTGGTGCCCAGGGATCAAACTGAGAATCCCGTCTTCTATCTGGTGGTGCACCCCTGAATGGTATTGACGCGGCGCTGCACCACCCCCACTCAGTCCCACCACCACTCGACACCCCGCCTGCCCTGAGCCCATGCCATGCACGTGTGCGTCTTGGTAAGAAGATACAGGGCTCCCGCACGCGAGGCAGGGGGGTTGCAGGCACCCGCCCGCCCCGGCACAGTCCACCACCAGACAGGGGGCTGCATACGGGGGGTCATGCGACAAGAATCTAGTTTGTGTTGCTGGTCTTCACAGCGCAGATGGCCTCCTCGCCCATGGCCTGCAGGGAGATGGGTGGGTAGGCTTGGTATCGGAGAAAGGCACACAAGCCGGGGAGGTGATGTGCCCAGGGGTGGGCGCCCTTCCCCTCCCGTGAGGGCCAAATATGGCCCCCGCACGCAATTGTGTGTGGCTCAGACAAGGCTGAAAATGGAATCGTCACGGTGGCAATTCCTCAGAATTTGATGGTACTAGGTTGGTCATCCCCACCACACACAGGTCACACGTGCGCTGAGGGCTGGACAGAGGGGCAGCTTCTGACGTGCACCCAAGGATGGAGTCCTCCTTTGCCATGGCAGGTGCACAGACCTCCTTCTTACACCCCCAGGTCAAGGCAACAAATAACACACACCATTCCCCTCCCAGGGACTCACAGAGAGGACGGAGACGATGAGCTCCTTGCCCGCCTCAAAGTCGGCCTTGATCTGAACCGCCAGCTTCTCAGCCTCGTCGGTGCCCTTGGGCAGGGTCAGGTCGTCCTTGAGGTCGCCGTTCTCCTGCATCAGCGACACGAAGCCGTCGTCGGTGACATCCAGCAGGGTGTAGTCTGTGCGGGTGACGTGGGGCACGTCGCAGTTGTGGGAGGAGGGGGTCAGGTCCTCCATCTTCTTGCCGGTGAAGATGTCGATGCCCACGAACACGCACTTAGCGTGACCATGCTTGCCGGTCTTGGAGGTGGACACATCGGCGACCTGTGACGCAGGCAAGAGGGGGGGGGTGAAAGGAGGACAGGGGATTGGCTCGCTCAGGCTGAAGGGGCACAAACAGCTTCCTGTTGTCTGAAGGAGACATGGCGGGTAGCGGGGCAGAAAGGTCAACGACACGCCCATGGAGGGCGCCGGGGATCCCTGCTCCCACACCAGGCCCCAAGGCGGGCGACGATGCCGGCCCGGCCCAGGCCTCAAAACTCCGCGCACCTTGCAGGGGCGCCCGCGGATCACAATGTATGCGTTCTTACGGATGGTTCCGGCCTGCTGGGGGAAGGTCTTGGAGGCACCGGCATCGGCGGCCTGCAATATGAAGGGGATGGGGAGAGCGTGGGTGGGGCGCCGGGAGGAAGGGGGAATGGGTTCGGGACGCGAGAATGGGGCCGCAAACTCGCGGCGGGGGCAGCGCGCACCTCGAAGTGCACGTCGTGATGCTCCTCCTCTGCCACTGCAATGGAATTGGGTGGGATGGGGGGGTCATGGACGGAGAATGGCTGCGCCCACAGCCAGGATGGAGCCGCACCACGGTTTCGCCCATCCTCCAGGACACTCACTGGCGAAGTCTGACCAGCTGTGTCGATGACGGCGTCCCTGCCAAGCTACGGGGGTCGTCGGAAAGGAGCGAGGAGGGGGTCTGGCGGCCCTTTTGTGGCACCCCGGGATTATTCGGCGAGGTACTGCTAGAGGATGAAGGGTGGTACTGGGATTCTCGCTCCGCACATGCTGGGCTAGATCTCCACGGTGAATGGAGTGGTCTCGGGCACCTGCACCCCCTTCTGAACCCTGCAATCGAGAGAGCATCGCATACGACTTGTATGTGTCACACCACACATTGATCTAGATTAGACATTTGAGGGAAAGGGTCTGGATGGGCGGGGAGGGTACAAGATTGTAACCTTGCATGAAGAATCGATGAAAGGTGTGGGACATAATTTATTCAAACCAATTGGAGACGAATCTCGAGATACAGGCATTAAATTTGGAAGCACGTATGTGCGGAGTTGGCCTGATGTGAAAAAGGCAGTACTGGACCAACTTAAATGGAACCTGCAATCATCTTCTCAGCGTCCTGTGATCCGTCAGTCGTGCTCGAGGACTTTCGATCTGCGCATCCATCCACTTGGATCCAGACCGCAGGATGCCAGCGGCCATGCCCCGAACGGCTGGGACGGCCGCACAGAGGGCACTCAAGAGGAGGAGGGCCGCTGCCTTCTTCAACAGCCAAGAGGAAAGGAGGATCCCAGAAGGAAGCATCCACAAAATCAGCAGCTGCTCAAAGGGGGAGGTTGGACAGCAGCCTGAATCCTTTGCTGGTTGGCGGTTGGACCCCCTCTGTACACCACAACAACCAGAAGTCCCTGCTCCGAAGCCCTTACCTCGACTTCATGCCGATGGTCAGTCTCGAACGTTGTACTGGCCCGTTCCGGCGCGCTTGAACCTCTTCGAGGTTGCTGCTCCAGTGCTGCTGGCCAACGAGCTTGGTTTCCGGGGAGCGCGTGTGCCTGCTCGGCACAGCTTCTTCGACGCGCAGGCCGTAACACAGGGCGGGCCGAAGGGTAGGGTCTCGGAAGATCAAGATGAATCTTACATTCTGAGCTGGTATGGAAGCTTCCAGCATGCTGTGTGGGTCCCGTTGTCCTCCTTGCGGGAAGGCTGGAGGTATCTGTCCTTTGCAGGGGGCGGGGTGCCGAGGTGCCCAGAAGTCGTGTATGCTGCATGTCTGTTCTCAAGAGCGCTAAGAAGCGCAATAACACGTCGTAGTTGTCTGCTTTTGTCTTTAACATGCTCGAGTCGTTGCACAAGTGTGTATCTGGGTAATCAGCAAACACCCCGTTGAATCAGTCCGCCCTCGAGATCTCCCCGAGATTCGTTCCCCGGGCGCAACGCAAACATGAACCCCGGCGTCAGGCATCTGTTCTTCCTCCGTCCACCGGCTGCACTCACTGATGCTAGAGCAGCACATGCGCAACCCCTTCCTACACGTCTTTCAGGATGAACTTCGCGGTATAAATCTAAGAACAGCGATGCGTTTTTAGATGGGGCAGTGCTTGTCCAGCTCCAACGCGGAACCCCCGCAGAGTCACGCGAGGACTGCGAAACCTGCTACGCCCCCCATCCCCAGCGATGTCGTGAACCGCGCGACATACCCAGAGACTACATCCAGCACAGATCAGGGCCTCGCCCAGCTGATCGTAACCTGCAATCATCTTCTCAGCGTCCTGTGATCCGTCAGTCGTGCTCGAGGACTTTCGATCTGCGCATCCATCCACTTGGATCCAGACCGCAGGATGCCAGCGGCCATGCCCCGAACGGCTGGGACGGCCGCACAGAGAGCACTCAAGAGGAGGAGGGCCGCTGCCTTCTTCAGCAGCCAAGAGGAAAGGAGGATCCCAGAAGGAAGCATCCACAAAATCAGCAGCTGCACAAAGGGGGAGGTTGGACAGCAGCCTGAATCCTTTGCTGGTTGGCGGTTGGACCCCCTCTGTACACCACAACAACCAGAAGTCCCTGCTCCGAAGCCCTTACCTCGACTTCATGCCGATGGTCAGTCTCGAACGTTGTACTGGCCCGTTCCGGCGCGCTTGAACCTCTTCGAGGTTGCTGCTCCAGTGCTGCTGGCCAACGAGCTTGGTTTCCGGGGAGCGCGTGTGCCTGCTCGGCACAGCTTCTTCGACGCGCAGGCCGTAACACAGGGCGGGCCGAAGGGTAGGGTCTCGGAAGATCAAGATGAATCTTACATTCTGAGCTGGTATGGAAGCTTCCAGCATGCTGTGTGGGTCCCGTTGTCCTCCTTGCGGGAAGGCTGGAGGTATCTGTCCTTTGCAGGGGGCGGGGTGCCGAGGTGCCCAGAAGTCGTGTATGCTGCATGTCTGTTCTCAAGAGCGCTAAGAAGCGCAATAACACGTCGTAGTTGTCTGCTTTTGTCTTTAACATGCTCGAGTCGTTGCACAAGTGTGTATCTGGGTAATCAGCAAGCACCCCGTTGAATCAGTCCGCCCTCGAGATCTCCCCGAGATTCGTTCCCCGGGCGCACGCAAACATGAACCCCGGCGTCAGGCATCTGTTCTTCCTCCGTTCACCGGCTGCACTCACTGATGCTGGAGCAGCACATGCGCAACCCCTTCCTACACGTCTTTCAGGATGAACTTCGCGGTATAAATCTAAGAACAGCGATGCGTTTTTAGATGGGGCAGTGCTTGTCCAGCTCCAACGCGGAACCCCCGCAGAGTCACGCGAGGACTGCGAAACCTGCTACGCCCCCCATCCCCAGCGATGTCGTGAACCGCGCGACATACCCAGAGACTACATCCAGCACAGATCAGGGCCTCGCCCAGCTGATCGTGCAGACTGCGGGGTGGAGGTCCCAGACTCAGGACACGGTGCGCACTTTGGTCCACCAGACACGCGAGCACCTCTTCCTCGCCGTGTTCCAGGGGATAGGCCTCCATGCCGAGGCGGTGGTCTCCTTCCTCCACGGTCGGGCGTACCAGGTGGGCGGCCGCTTGGGAGCTTAGCCCAGCTGGAGGGACATGCATCGGTGGAGAATCTTGCAAGGTGCAGGGTCGAGGGGATGGCATGGGGCCAACTCAGCGTCATATCATGTGCCTCTCACCGCCCTCAGGTGTTCACCGAGCAAGCTGGAGCCGCGACCTCCCTGCAAGATGCCCTGAGGGGCACGCTGCTGGCTCTGGAGGCCGCTCTGCTTACAGCACCGGCCCTGCCGCATGCGGTGTGTGAGGGGAGCCGATGCTCAGCTTTGCGAGATGCCCTGTGCTTCGTGCCAGGCTGAGCCTGCGGATTGGGGCCCGCAGCCATCCACATGGTGGTGGCAGGCACCCCAGCCAGCTGCATATTGCTGCTCGCCATACACTTATCACTGACACCCACTCCCATGTCCCTCCAGCTCGATCTTAACCGCCCCATGTCCTCCTCCCAGGCACGGCTCTCCAGCGGCGCCAGCGCATGCCTGGCGGTGGTGGACCTTCCAGCCTGCAGCGCCCACGTGTGCAGTGTGGGCGACTCGCGCTGCCTGCTGGCGCGGACCGCCGGAAACTTCAACTCCGTGGCGCCGGCCGGCCGCTTCCTGGGCGAGGAGCATGCGCTGAGGAACCCGGAGGAAAGGGCGGGCCTGGAAGGTTGCATGGTCTGTGACGGCCGCACCCCGGGGCTACACCTCACCCGCGCCCTGGGCTTCGCCGGCCTCAAAGGTGCGGCCGGGCCCGCAGCCACCCGCTCCGTGATGCATGGCCGGTACAAGAAGCTCTTTGGGCCTGATCAGTGGCAGGGGGGAGGATTGCCAGCGGCCCTTGCACGCGCCTTTCAGGAAACCCCGGCTGTCAAAAGTCCACCCCCTTTCCTTCCCCCGCACCCGATTCTCACAGGTCCCCAGGGCCGCCTGCGCTGCGACCCCGAGCTCTGCTCCGTCAGGCTGAGCCCGGCGGACTCTGCCCTCGTCCTCGCGCCTGCCCCCTTCTGGGACCAGGTGTCGCCCGGCGCGGCCTGCCTGCGCCACCGCTTCTACGATCGCCACGCGCGCCTGCAGCAGGGCGCGGATCGCGCCCGGGCCCTGGCCCAGGCCGGGGCAGGCGCGGGTGCGGGTGGGTCCGGGCTGGACGCCGCCGCGCCGGGACGGGGCGCTGATGCCTTCAACGCTGCCGCCCACCTTGTCCTCTATGCCATGGCCCGCGCGGGGGCGGAGGGCGGGCGCGACCTGGGCATCGCCGACCTCGCGCGCCTGCCCTTTGGCGGAGGGAAGGACGAGGAGGGTGGTGGCGGCGACCTGCCTGCGGCTGAGTCGGGGGCGGCGTCGCCGGCGCCGATTGCGGCGACGGGAGGCCAACCCGCCGCCGCAAGCCCTGCACCGTGCCTGACGCGGGAGTCGGTGGCAGGCAACCTGGGTGTGGCGTGTGTGACGCTGCGCTGGCACGGGCAGAGCGTGAGCGAGGCGACGCGCGCGGCGGCGGTGGCCGTGCGGCGCGCGGCGCATGAGACGACGCTGCAGCGCGCCGCGCGCCGGCGCTGGGACGCGCTGCGCGCGCTGGTGGACTTCCAGCGCGCGCAGCGGCGCAGCGTGCGCGCCGCCTGGCACGACGCGGCGCGCGCCATTTACGCCAGGGCCGCGGTCCGGGCGCGGGCGGTGCAGGAGGAGCTGTACGTCCAGCGCGGCGTCGTAGTGGACGTGTCCCCCAGCCTCAAGGTCCGGGAGCCGGGGACGGGGCGAGAGGTGCCCGCCGAGGAGGTGGGCATCCGCGCCACTGTCAACTTCTGAGCCCCGGTGCACTGCCTGGGGCTGGGATCATGGCCAGGTCGTGTGTACAGCTGACCCCTTGCGCAGCGCTGATGGTGACCAGGGCATACGCAATTGGTGCAGGGGGGAGGACGAGCAGGGGCCAGGGCAGCTCATGACAGAACAAAGGGAAGCAGGCCGGTATGCACAAGAAGCCGGTGAGGGACCCCTCGCCTCACTCAGTGCCAGCGGGCACGCTCATCAAGCTCCAGACAGGAACCTGTCCAGGGTGGATCCCCCGGGCTGCTGCTCGGGGGGCAGCCTCCTCCTGGCGGGCCTGGCAGCCGCCCCTGCCCGACCCCTCCCCCTGTCCGGGGTCTGGCGCTTGCCTGCCGCCACGCGCGACCTCATCACCGCCACGCCCAGCTGGGCCCGGGCCTCGGAGCGCAGCTCGGGCGGGAGCTCGGCGAGGAAGGCCTCCTGCTCCGAGGAAAGGAGGGCGCCCGGCCTCACGCCGGGCGCAGGACGCGTCGCCGGGCTCGCCGACGCCTCAGCTCCATCGCCTGGCTCGTGCGTGGGGCTGCGGCGCCCCTCCGCCACCTGCTGGCTGCCAGACGCAGGGCACATCGACTCCTCACTCTGCACGACATGGACACCTTCGCCGGCCCCTGCGTCACCTTCCAGCTTCGCCCCTGCCCCATCTGGCGAGACGGCATCGGCGGCGCTCGGCCCGGCCTGCGCCCCTCCTGCCTTGAAGAACCTGGTGATGGCAGCGGACTCTCCCTGGGCCATCACAAACTTGGAGGCCTCTAGGGACATGGCCCCGATGTTCCAGCCTTGGAAGGTGGGTGGAAGTACATTGGAGTTAGAGGAACGGGCTGTGGCACCTCAGGGACGGAGCGCTAGGGCATGCAAGCTACACATTGCATGATTCTGGCTGCTCGTCCCACCATCTCCTCGGGCAACGCCTCCTCCATCCCAACCCCCCCCACACACTCGCGCCCTCCCATCCCACCTGGCGGCTGCACGGATGCCCAGCGCCGGACCAGGGCCGCGGCGTCGTCGGCCATCGCCGCGGCCTCGGGGCGGCGCAGGGCGCAGGACCTCGACACGCTGGGCACGCTGGGCACCCGCGCCCATCCGTCGGGAGCCAGGGCGGGGGGTGCATCCCGGCTCCACGATACCGTCAGCAGCGTCGGCATGCGTCCGTTCTCCTCACGGTCAGCAGCCAGCCGCTCCTCCAGCTCCTTGCCTGGTGGAGTTGTGAGATGAAAGGGAGGTGTGCGGAGGTTGGACCATGCCTTCCCTAGATCGCTGAGGAGAGAAGCCCACCTTCACTTCACAGGGCCACCGTGGTCCATGCCCAACGCCATGCCCAGCCTGATCACAATCCAGCATCAGCCCTCCACACAGGTCTCCTGCTCGCCAGCTCTCCACATTCCCCCGCCCCCCTTGCCCCTCCTCACGCCTCAACCCACCCAGCACCCCCAGCCAGTGACGGACAGCGTTCAGGTCGGCAAGTGCGCTGCGTCGGCCCCGAAATGTCTTGCCGCACGACTGGGACTTGGGCAGGCGGCGTTCCACCACCTCCTCCCCGTCCACTCCACGGCACAGCCCCCCCAGCCAGGCCGCGTCCTTTTCTCCCGCCACCGCCTCCAGCCGGCTCCGCGGCAGCGCCGCCAGCTGGCCGGCCGTGGTCACGCCCAGGGCGTCCGTCAGGCCCGCGCCGTACTTTCCACCCAGCATCCTCAGCCGCGCCAAGGGCAGGTCCGCCAGCAGCTCGGGAACCCCCGCCGCTGCCACCAGCGTGCACGCGTCGGGTTTGTGCAGGCCCGAGGCCAGCTTGGCCAGCAGCTTGGTGTGCGCCAGCCCCGCCGAGCAGGTGTAACCCGTCTGCGTGCGCACGTCGGCGCGGAGCTCCGCCACGACCGCCGCGCCGGCGGCCAGCAGCGCCTCGCCCGGCTGCCAGAGAGAGCGCGCGCGCGCGTGCCACGGCGCCGCGGGGGCCTCCGCGCCGACGTGCACGCGCTCCGCGCCGGGCGGCGGCGCAAAGGGCGGCGGGCCGAGCTTTGCCAGCCGCGCGGCGGCCGCCTCGGTCAGGTCCAGGTACGCCTCGTCGATGGAGGCGCGCTCGCAGGCGCCGGCGCATGCCGCCAGCAGCGCCAGCACGCGCCGCCCGGCCGCGCGGTAGAGCGTCAGGTCAGCCTTACCGTGGGCGGTGGGCACCTGGACCAGGATCAAATCCGGGCAGAGCGCGCAGGCCTCGTCGCCGCGCATGTTGCGCCGGACGCCCTGCGCCCGGGCCTCCTGCACGCGTGCATGCGTGTGAGGTTGGAGAGAATCGATTTGAGGGGCCGGTACATTGCCAGAGTCCTGGGCTGCTGTAACAATGACCATGCATCTGGGTGGCAAGGGGCCACCTCGCCTGGGGTCTGCCAGGAAGGGGAAGTAGCATTCGTCAATGATTGGGGCAGGCCAGGCGGTCTCACATACGATACGGCGATGATGGAGTTGGGGGAGGCAGGTATGACACGGTCGTCCTCTGGCAGCAGCGTCCTCAGGTCCCCCTGGGGGTTGTACTGGACCACCGCCAGGGGCTTGCCTGCCAGCCTGTTGGGGTCGCGCTTGGCCTGGGAGCCCGGGGCAGAGAGGGGAAGGTGTCGGGCTTTGGACGAGACGCTCGGGAGGGAGTAGGAGAAAGCCTGACTGTCTGGCAGGACCCCATGCAGCCCTCCCAAAATCTCATTCCCGGTGTCTTCGCACCTCCACCTGCGCATAGAACGCATCCAAATCCACATGACAGATGACCTTGTTCCGGGGCAGCTCCATCTCCTCCGATACACTTGTGCATGCTCGAGGCTTTGCGCGTGACCCCCGGTCAGGCCTTCCGTCCGCTACATGCGACTGCTGATCAAGCCTGCCCTCTACTCCACGACGCCTTGCAGCCTGATACGCATCGCTTTGTACCTTCTCATGCGAGCATCGTGCACGGCGATCGGAGGCGCGAGGAGGTGTCGTCGGCATCGGTCTCAGAGCCCCTAGATGATCTCCACTCAACAGTATTCCTTACAACGTCCATGCCTCGCCATGGCGGGCCAGAACTGAGCATGGTGTTCGGGCATCGCTTGCCAGACATTTGATTGGGGGTTCAGGCAGGCGGCCTGCCAGCGGGTGCAGTCGGCCATGCCATCACGCGTCCACCAACCGCTCAGTACCCTCCCTGCAGGTCCCGCATGAAGCCCTGCGCCAGAGACGAAAGCCGTGACCCCGCCGCGCTGGCCATGTTCTTCAGCTGCGCCATGTCCTGCTTCGCGGTCAGGCTGATCTTGGACACCAGCTCCGCGGCCGACATGTCCAGGTTGCCTGCGCCGGGGCCGCCGCCGCCGCGCCGCGACTCGTCCTCCCTGCCAAAGTAGGCATCCGAGGAGATGGCGCCCGCGCTCTGCGGAGCGTGGATCGATGACCTTTTTTGGGCGGGGGGGTTGAGGTCGCGCTTGGCCTGGGAGCCCGGGGCAGAGAGGGGAAGGTGTCGGGCTTTGGACGAGACGCTCGGGAGGGAGTAGGAGAAAGCCTGACTGCCTGGCAGGACCCCATGCAGCCGTCCCAAAATCTCATTCCATGGGCCTTCGCACCTCCACCTGCGCATAGAACGCATCCAAATCCACATGACAGATGACCTTGTTCCGGGGCAGCTCCATCTCCTCCGATACACTTGTGCATGCTCGAGGCTTTGCGCGTGACCCCCGGTCAGGCCTTCCGTCCGCTACATGCGACTGCTGATCAAGCCTGCCCTCTACTCCACGACGCCTTGCAGCCTGATACGCATCGCTTTGTACCTTCTCATGCGAGCATCGTGCACGGCGATCGGAGGCGCGAGGAGGTGTCGTCGGCATCGGTCTCAGAGCCCCTAGATGATCTCCACTCAACAGTATTCCTTACAACGTCCATGCCTCGCCATGGCGGGCCAGAACTGAGCATGGTGTTCGGGCATCGCTTGCCAGACATTTGATTGGGGGTTCAGGCAGGCGGCCTGCCAGCGGGTGCAGTCGGCCATGCCATCACGCGTCCACCAACCGCTCAGTACCCTCCCTGCAGGTCCCGCATGAAGCCCTGCGCCAGAGACGAAAGCCGTGACCCCGCCGCGCTGGCCATGTTCTTCAGCTGCGCCATGTCCTGCTTCGCGGTCAGGCTGATCTTGGACACCAGCTCCGCGGCCGACATGTCCAGGTTGCCTGCGCCGGGGCCGCCGCCGCCGCGCCGCGACTCGTCCTCCCTGCCAAAGTAGGCATCCGAGGAGATGGCGCCCGCGCTCTGCGGAGCGTGGATCGATGATTTTTTTTGGGGGGGGGGGTTGAAGGGGGGTGAGGGCACGAAAGGGTAAGGATGCAGGGCAAGGTTTGGTAAACTTGCAGGGATTGGGGGTGGGCCAACCGGCCATAGTGGGGCCCTGTCATGGCTAAGTGAAAAGGGAGAGCCAGACAGAAATGGACCGAGGAGCATTATCATTCACATGCGTTCCCTCTTCCATGCCCTCCGCCCCGCCCGCCCTGCCTTCGGCCCCGCATGCGCCGCCGCTCACCGAGAACTTTGCGAGCCGGGCCTGCTTCTCGTAGTCGTTCTCCCCCTTGTCCTGGTTGAAATAGGCAGCCGAGGAGATGGCCTTGGCCGACCCGAAGCGGGCCTGGGCGGCCGACCCCGACGCGTCCGAGGTGGTGGCCGGGGGCCCGGCGGGCACGGAGCGGGAGGCGCGGCCCCAGCCGCTAGAGCCTCCGCCGCCGCCGAAGCCCCCACCGCCAGGGGAGTTGCAGCCGGCGTCTGAGCCCAGGGGGTCGTTGAAGAAGTCGTCGTTAGACGTCAGCTTCAGGTGGCCGTCTTGCCCGCGCTGCGACAGGGTGGTGCTCAAGTGATGAGTGGCTGGCCGGGGGGGGGAGGCCTTCTCAACAGGGATGCGACTCAGGGGAGAGACAGTGGCTGCTTGAGACAATGGCAGACAGATCCCCTGGGGCATGGCGAGACCATTGCTTCTCAAAGAGCGCTGCCACCATCACAACCGAAATCCTGGAGCGCCGTCCAAGTGCCAGATCCCCCCCAAGAGATGTTCACCTGAGCAGGGGGGCGGGCCCGCTCCTCCATCGCGTCCAGGTCGAAGCGCGACGAGGGCGCCTGTGCGCCGCCAAAGTCCTCGTCGTCAAAGTCCTTGCTGCCGTGGGCCTGACCCTTGGGCCCGGTCGCCCGGCCCTCGCCGTTGGTCGCGCCGGGCGCCTCCTCTGGCGCGGCCGGCTCCTGCTCGAACAGCGAGTCATCCACTCGCACGGCGGCCTTACGGATGCCCAGTCCGCCCCCGAGCTTGCCGGCCGGCTTGCGTGCGCCGGCGCCCGACCGGGCGGCGGGCGCGGGGCGGCGTGGGGCTGGCGCGGCGGCGGGCGGGCTCTGATGGTCTGGGGCCTCAGGCGCGGCGGCCTCCGCGCTGGAGGTGCGCTGCGAGGCCAGGGAGTTGGCACGGGCGGGCGATGCCGCCTCGGGCGCCGCGCCCTTGGAGCGGTAGCTGTCCGACCAGGGGTCGGACGCGTCGCCGGCGCCGGCCCCGCCGGCCGCGCCGGCGTCGCCCTCCAGCAGCTTGGCGGCGTCCTTCTCGAGCTGGCGGCGGTACAGCTGGGCGGCGCGGGAGGTGTACTTGGCCTCGATCTTGTCGGACCCCACCTCGTCCCAGCCGTGCTGCTTGAAGAAGGTGCGGGCGCGGCCGTTGCCCCCCGCCGCCATCACCGCCAGCTGCTCCTCCGTCCAGGAGTCCAGGGTGGTGGACCGCACGAAGCTGAGGTGCACACCCAGGCTGCGGTGCACGCCCGCGCAGTTCAGGCAGATGAGCACGCCGTACGGCACCGAGGCCCAGGCCGGGTTCTTGGCCGGGCAGTCAAAGCACACCTGCGGGCGAGGAAGCATCGTGGCGCAGCATAGCAAGTACTCTCATCAGATGAAAATGCCACAGAAGGCAACTGCAGACGGATGTTCCAGCACAGAAAGCGCCGCGCAGAGGAAACCCCGTCGACACGACAGTCCTTCACCGTGTGAGCCCGGAAGTGCCCAACGACGGGCGCCTCACCTTGTTTTCTGGCTTCATGCGCATCCGTCTGAACAGCGGGTCGCGCTCAAGCACCTGCTGCGCCATGGTCGGAGATGCTCCGGGCGGGACGGGCAGGAGCTCCGAAGGCCGGATCCCTCAGAAACTGACGAGCAGGGGCTGGGGTGGGGACACCTCAAAACAGCAGCACCATGTGCTCTTCTCAAGCAGGAAAAGTGTGCAATCGCTGCTGCCTGTTGCTCCTCCTGGAAGAGCACTTGGTGGAGGAATAAAGGTGACCTGAACTTTCCCGCGCCCAAGACCAATACGATTTCCCGTGACCGACAGCGTGGAGCCTCCAGACTTGAATGACGCGAGGGCGAGAGGCATGTGGAAGAAGAGGACAAATGGCGATACTCGTATCAGTGGCGCAGCGTATATACTCCTAGGGTACAAGAGGCAGCTGCTGGAGAAGCTTGAGGAGGCATGGCCGAAGCCAAGTGCCTGGCCTTGCTGGCGGACACCAACAAGCCCTACAATGTCCAGGTATCGCATCGCGAGCGCAATCGGTGAATAAATGCTGAGTAACCTCATTACATAACCCATCGGTGCGCACATGTCGCAAGCAGGGGGTTGCCGACATGCTGGCGTCGCAAGGATTCAAGAAGGCCCAGGTTGAAAAGGCACTCATGGCGCTCGCCGAGGCCGGGAAAATTAGCTGCAAGGAGTTTGGGAAGCAGAAGCTCTTCATTCCTTCTCAAGAGGGTCTCCCTGAGCTCGATGCGGCGGTACGATAGCTGTGGCGGAGGAGGCATGGGCCTGGGCGGGGCTTGGGAGCCACCAAGAGCTGTGCAAGGAAGTTGCCGTGCCGTCCCTCGGTATTAGGCGCTCCATTCCTCCACGTCGTACTGCAGGAGAAGGACGCCAAACTCTCGAGGATCAGCCAACTGCAGCAGAGCCGCAAGGAGTTTGAGGCCGAAATCTCTGCTCAGCGAAAAGGTGAGGGGGGACGTTGATCACTGTATGGTGGATATCCTCATGCGAATGCATCAGGGGGGGGGGGATAATGTGTGGGTGTCTGACAGGCTGCTGATTGATGAAGCTTGCTCACACGCTCTGTCAGCAGTCACTTCCCTCCACCCTGTGCACCTTCCCCTGTCGACAGAGCTGGCTCAGCTGAACTCCGTCCTGACGGTGGAGGAGCTGCAGGCTCAGATCGCCACTCGACTGCAACAGGTGCAGGAAGCCGAGACGAAACTGGCGGCGCATCGGGGTGGTGGCATTGTGGCCGTGTCTGCTGAAGACGTGGCAGCAGCGGAGCAGGTGAGAGCATGCCTGTGGGGCACAAGGTGCCTGCCGGGGTTGAGCTGTCCGGGGCACAGGATGCAGACTCTAAAGGGGCCAGTGCATGCCTGCCCTGATCCAGCATGTATTCTGAGTTTGCAGAGGTCATGGTGCTGAACACACTGCGCCACATCACGCCGATTAAATGCACCTCTCTCTCATCCTGCGCTCCCCAAACAGAGGTTTGCCACGGGACTGACCGCATGGGAGAGGTATCGCCGCATGTTCCGCGACATCTGGGACACGGTATCAGAAAACCTGGAGGCGAATCAGGTATGGGTGGGGGTGTCGATTGTATTGCACTTGTTTAATCCAGACCTGCTGATCGGCCATGGCAAGGGGCCTCTTCGAGTCACATGGTCACGCCCCTCTCCTCCCTCATCCAGGCTGACGTCTTTGAGGACATGGGAGTGGAGACAGATGAAGCCATCGGCGAGACCCTGGCAGCATACCAGCACCTGCTTCCCGGCAGGAAAAAGGCCAAGGCCTGCTGAGATAGATCCTGAGCCGGCTACACCCTTGTGCATGCACAGATGTGAGATACGAAGAGACCAAAGGGTCACGATACCCTGCCATGAAAATCGTTACAGTTACAGCCTGGGTTCAAAAATCATATGCGGGTCAAGGACCTTGCATGGGTGCACGAAGCTGATGCTGAGGAATCGTTTGAAAATTTTGATGAGGTGATGGGGTTCAACAGAGCTGCAGAGGGCTGTGAGGTGCGCGGGTGCTCAAGCGACGCCGCAAGAGAGAGGCAATGTTGAGGAGGAGAGCCCTGGGTTTGGCTATGCCATAGCGCCTCATTTGGTGTCAGTGTGGGAGCGGGGCAACAACCCCGAGATCGCTGCTGTCAGATGAATGAGGTGACAGGGGCTGCTGTCACCACTCCAGCAGTACCACAACGGCAGTCATGTTGTCACGAGTCTGGAGCGCGGTTGCCCTCCGGATGAGGGCGGCCGCAGCCTGGCCTGCCAGAGCGTCTGCAGAGGGGTAGTTGTGTATGAGGTTAGGATCATGATCTTACAGCGGGGCCTGGAATGACCCTGGTGCTCTGCACCAGGCTGTCCAGTGATCAGGTGGCGTGGCCACGACAGATTCGTTTGTGTCTTACCACCAACGAGATGGCATTCACGCTCACCGGAGGGCGGACTGCCTGCCACAGTCGTCTTCACGATGTCAATGGCCTCATCCTCGCTCATCACCTCCAGCACACCATCGCTGCGAGGGGGATAGGGTTGAGAGGTGGGTCGGGAGAGGGGCACGAGCGAAGTTCAGATGTAAGGAATAGCAATGGCTTCCTCGTGAGCCTCTGTGGGCTGGGCTGGGATTCGAGCACGGCTATCTTCCACCCACTCTGCCTGATTCTGGATGCCCGTCAATCCCGGGCCCCCATCGCAGCACCAGAGAAAAGCCCCTCCAAGACCTGCCACGCAGTCTTCCCCCACCTGGCCAAGATGAAGAACTGGTCTCGGTGGGGCCGGAGGGCCACCCTCACCACATCCGGCGTCGCCTCCACCAGACGCTTGGGCGACTTGAAGTTGCCGTCCCCCAGGGCCCTAGACATGTTGAGTCGCGAGATGCGGGAGCCCCGCGGATTGCTCAGCACGCGATCCTCCTTGTACATGATACGGCCACCTGAGTCGTGGCAGGGGAACTTGTGTGGTCAGGCTGTGTATGGTTTCCAGACTTTGCACACGGGTGACAGACACAATGACATACAATCAGCCTCCCCGCAGGCTCCCACCTGGACACTCCCCTCCCTGTCCCAGCACAGCAGCGCCAGCACCATATCAACAATCAAACCACCCAACACACACCCTCACCCTGGCCCTCGATGCGAGCGCGTTCTGTGGGCATGGAGGCGGGCTTGTGGTCCTCCGTCAGCCTGACCAGGGTCCCCCCCCGGCACAGCAGCGCGCACGAGTCCCCGGTGTGGGCGATGTACATGAGGCGACCGATGCGCAGGGCGCACACGGCAGTGGTGCCGTACTGCTGTCCCGCGGCGCTGGCCACATCCACCATCTCGAGGTCCATCTCGTGGAACGCGCGCGCAAAGGCGCGCTGGATGGCCGTGTCGTCCACCTCGCGCATGCCCTTGGGGGGGAGGTGGGCAGGGGGGGGAAGGAGTGAGGTAGGATGAGGATTATTAAACATGGCTGGGGGTGGCAGGGGCTGGTCCGTGGCCAATGATGGGAGCTATGACATTTATGATGCACATCTTCACCCATTTACACTCAGTACCCGCCTATGCAGACCATTACCAACCTCCCCAGTACCTGGCATGTCTGGATCTCGGGCTGCTCGGCGAGCAGCTCATGCAGCCTGTCAGCCGCGTGCTCTGAGCCTCGAGCACTGCAGTGGCCGTCGTACACGGCCGCAAACTGATGAGGGATGCCCGATGTGGTGGGGGAAAGTTGGAAGTCGGGAAGGATAGTATGTCGGTCCTCCATGTGGAGGCGGCGGCCTGCATGGGGCAGCAAGACGGGCGTCAGGAGGCGCACGGTGCCTGGCCGGACGTCAAAAGGCACCTCTGGTGGACTCAGATACTTTGGGACGTTCGGTACGCCCACAGCAGGGCATATGTATTTCACTCATGCCACACATCGTACCTTTGCAGTCGGAGACACCAATGAACGCCTGGGCACAAGCTGCGATGCACGTCTCCGAGGCCGCGCCTGGAGTAAGGGTCGAGGGTCGCGAAGGTGTGAACAGGAGTGGAATGTATCTACAAATTGCATGTAAGGGCTGGTCATGAATTGGATGCGTGTGTGCAGCACAGATAGCCGGCCCATTTTCATGAAGATATTTTGGAAGATACCGGCATGAGACCTTCGCAACAGCCGTACAATCCTGGGCAACGCCTCCCATACTCACGGCATAATCCCAAAACGTTGCTCCCTACTGTGCACGCCATCAGGTGCGGTGCAACGCCGGTTTACGTCGTGGTTCGCAGAGTTCAGAGTTAGGGGAATCAGCGGAGGCCAGATCTTGGACGACGGTGGGGCGCGCCCCGTCACCGTAAAGTCCTGGGAGTATGCGTTTCTTCCGGTATCCACGAGTTGGCGGTCTGTGATTGCCTGGAATGATATATTGCATTCCAAGGTTGTTGATATCTTTGAAATGGAATGCGGCACATCAAGGTGCAATACAATTATCGGTAGTGGAGCTTTGTCCACATGGAATTTGCACCTTCGCACCAGCTCCAGCTACTGGGTGGATTCGACTTGCCGACTTGTACGGCAATCGACTCCTTCACCTAACAAGGATTCCTATTCGATAGGGAGGCGAAAAACCAATTGGTTGATTAGGGCGACCACTACTTGGCGTTCGTGTAGTACCAGGCTCAGCCGTCGACTTACAGAGTTTCCTGGCACTTATCCCATCATGCTGCAGAAAGGTCAAAGTAGGTGCTACTAGGACAAACTTCTAGTAGCTTGGTGTTGTGATCCGAGGAAAGCGGACTAGTACATACATGATTTGCACATAGAAATTGTAGATATGGTCTGGGCTCGTGCAGGGGCCGCCCCTTCAGCAGGAGCAGACGCTGATCGGTAGAGCTCCACCAGTCCTGAGGTCCCTGACTCCATACGACAGCGGGCTGGTAGATGCCTGAAGGAAATGAGTGAGCATGCAGGCTGAGAGGATGGATTTTAGAAGATTGGAACAGTAGGAAAGAGGTCGCTAACCCCATGTCTCCAATCAGCCTGAGCAAGTCGTGCAGGGCACACTACATTCTGTTCCCTACACCACACTACACATACCCTGACATACTGTCCGTTCTGACAGGTTTGGGGGGCAGCGCTGGTGCAGCAGTTTCGGGCAACAATAGAGTTGCATTTCCTTGCGATGGGGCTAGGGTTGGTGGGGCTCGGGGACGAGGCGCGTGAACTGTGGTGGCACTAGGGAGTGGAGCGATTTCAGGGTTCACTCTTGATTCATGGGCACGCCCTGGATTTTGACAGAGGTACTGGGATCTCGTACTGCAGCGGGCGTGCCAGACTGTCAGCACCCAGTACCTAGGGCTGGGGGACGGCGAGTTGGTAGGAGTTGTCGGGGAAGGTCCACTGGAGGGACTGGTCGGGCTGGGGGAGGTGGAGGGGCCGGGGGAGTTGGAGCACTGCTGCAGCTCCGCAAATGCAGACGCGAGGGCGGTGGCGGTGGCCGTCGCCTGAGAGTGTGGGAGTGGAAGGGATTCTTGTGTAGGTCGCCAGCATGTCAAGGATGGCCAGTGAGAGAGTTATGGGGCGAACCAGCCACCTGCCCCCTGGCAGAGATGTGGAAGGGTCACAGCAATGGGCATTGTGATGGAACCCAAAACCTGCCTCCCTCATCCCATCGTACTGTGGCTTCGGCGGTGGCTTCAGCAGTGGCCTCGGCAGTGCCTCCATCTGTGGCGCAGGCTGATGCAGCTGCAGCAGCGGTGGCGACGGAAGTCTCGATACTGTTGGCAGTGGCCTCCGCAATGGCTTCGGCCTGGGAGGGACAGCAGCCAGCTTGGGCGATGGCAGTGGAACTGGCTTCCGCGATGGCCTTGGCCACAGCAGTGGCAGACGCTGCGGCGCTCCCGCACGCAGAGGCCCCTGGGCCGGATGTCGAAGCGAACACACTGGCGTACGCTTTGGCAGTGGCCTGAGTGCGGGAGAAGGAAGAGCAGTGAGGGCTTCTAGTCGATCCTCGTGTATCGTTTGGATCATTAATAGCATTTCAGTTGCATGCAGCACAGCAGGCAAGACAAGGTACTTCTTGCGCTCGGCAAATGACTGAGGGACGACCTGTGCATGCGTTCCAACCTAATAGTTTACGAGGATGCCCACCCTCCTCATTGGGGCTCACCGTGGAGACAGCCTCGGCAACAGCCTCAGCCTGGGCCTGAGCGGCCCCACCACCACACACTTGGGCCACGGCAGTGGAAAGCGCGGAGGCAGTGGACTCCTTTATCTCGCTGAAAGCGGCGGAGTTGGCAATGACAATAGCCTCCACTTTCTTTGCCTGACCGTTGTTCACAGCTTGTGCTGTGCCCTCGGCACTAGTGATTGTGCTGGGATCCACTGCAGTACCAGTGCCATTACTGATAGCCTGCCAGAAAGGTAAGGGAGAGGCGCACGGGATGACAGACGAGATTAGAGTACGGCCAAGCCCGCGCCAATGAGAAGGAGCTTTTGAAGGTGAATGGCATATGATTGGCGTACGGCAGGCCAAGCAGAGCTTCATTAAACTACGCGCATGTCAATATACCATGCCAATTCACTGCTACAATCTAGCACATCAATTACCGAAGCAGCGGCTTCTGCGGTGGCATCCCCTGAAGCGACCGCCTCCGCTGCTGCGTTTGCAAGGGCGGTTCCGTTTCCGCTGGCGGTCGCGATAGCGGCGGCCTGACATAGGGTTTAGCCCGGGACGGTAGAATGATCATAATGGGTTCGACAAGGGGAAGTGCGCACCCATGGCAATCCTAAAGCCCACATTAAGCCAATTACCTCGGCGACAGCGTCGCCGTTGCCTTCGGCCAGAGCCTGCATATTCATGAAAGAGTGCCACCGAGGTCGGTGAACCGGATGGTGCCAGCGATGGACCACGGAATGTATCAGGCTGATGACAGGAGTCACACTGCACACATTACCATGTCATGCATAGAGAAAGTATCATCCGTTGCCTTACTGAAGCGATAGCGCTGGCAGCTGCAGTGCTGTCACCAGAAGCCACAGCGGACGCAATGGCCGTTGCGGTTGCAGATGCCTTCAGATTCCGAAGGCGGAAAACGGCCGAGTCTCGTCCATGCGCGAGCATGCACAGGGCCAAAAGGCCAATGAAAGTCCAGGAAAAGGTCTTCATGGCCTCTGCGTGTGAGGAGAAACGATACTGGGCGACCGACTGCAGGGGCGCACATCAGACCGGAACTGCAGATTCATCCGAGCGTCTCGTCACTCACTCAAAATGTTAGCTTAACCCAGCTGCAGTCTGTCGAGAAGGCACCTGGACAATATTCTGTACGCTTAAGCCTACGTTTTTCATACTTCCGAAGGCAAGGAATATATATATATATCCTTACGATAGTTCCTGCTTCCGTGAAGGCGCAGGAAGGCGCAAGCAGCGGCAGACAAAGACGCGTCGGCGAGATTGATGGCGATGCGAACAGGTCAGCAGGGCACCGTTCTGACAGTTTGGACGATGAAGTACCAGTGAACGCGAGCTGAATGCTCAATGATGTGGCATGGGATGGGTTGAGAAGGCCACCAGGAGGTGGTAGTATTTTAGGGGGAGGCTGAAGAAAATCGGAAGCAAGTACAAAGTGTATGAGGGCTCAAATAAGAATCTATACTCGCGCCGAGGGGGTGCGCTTGATACATAATCCTGCGGATGAATAATTTGCAGCCAAACATGCTAGCATGATGGCCGAGACACTGTGCGACTATTGACTGGGGATGGGTGTGCTAGTACATCCTTCATGCACATGCTCTGCCTGGTTGCGTAGGTCTCCAAGGTTGTTAGTCAGTGTGACAAGGTGCAGGTCGGCCTCATTTTGTCCTTGAGCAGTCAGCTCGGCGGATGAAGTGCAAGATCTCATTCTTCAAGTATCCAGCGCAAGACTCAGGAGAGCGTAGATGCATAATTACTGAGGGCACATGTGTACAATGACACTTGCTGGCCTGAGTTTACAAGAAAACAGGCACATGTCTCAGCGTGCATGAAGCAACGTCAGTAGATGCCGGTCAAAAGAACAAGCACGTGCTCTTTCAGGGCCAAGGCAGTTCACAGGCAGGGCGAGATGTCTGCAATACAGGCTTGGAGTACAGTGATAAGGTTGCTTTTCATTTTGTAACATTGGTGACAACCTGACGCCTGTAAAACAAGAAACTGCTCTGGTCGATTCCAAGCCACGGACAGATGCCCCTCCTCAGCAAAGACAGATCGTCTGCTGGATAAAAACACCAGCCCTAGCGTCCTTGATTCCATATGACAAGGGGTCAGGTGATGCCTGAGGGACAGATAGAGACTTCCATGATGATGTCGCTATCATGGTCCTGACGTAATGTTAGCTTAACCCAGCTGCAGTCTGTCGAGAAGGCACCTGGACAATATTCTGTACGCTTAAGCCTACGTTTTTCATACTTCCGAAGGCAAGGAATATATATATATATCCTTACGATAGTTCCTGCTTCCGTGAAGGCGCAGGAAGGCGCAAGCAGCGGCAGACAAAGACGCGTCGGCGAGATTGATGGCGATGCGAACAGGTCAGCAGGGCACCGTTCTGACAGTTTGGACGATGAAGTACCAGTGAACGCGAGCTGAATGCTCAATGATGTGGCATGGGATGGGTTGAGAAGGCCACCAGGAGGTGGTAGTATTTTAGGGGGAGGCTGAAGAAAATCGGAAGCAAGTACAAAGTGTATGAGGGCTCAAATAAGAATCTATACTCGCGCCGAGGGGGTGCGCTTGATACATAATCCTGCGGATGAATAATTTGCAGCCAAACATGCTAGCATGATGGCCGAGACACTGTGCGACTATTGACTGGGGATGGGTGTGCTAGTACATCCTTCATGCACATGCTCTGCCTGGTTGCGTAGGTCTCCAAGGTTGTTAGTCAGTGTGACAAGGTGCAGGTCGGCCTCATTTTGTCCTTGAGCAGTCAGCTCGGCGGATGAAGTGCAAGATCTCATTCTTCAAGTATCCAGCGCAAGACTCAGGAGAGCGTAGATGCATAATTACTGAGGGCACATGTGTACAATGACACTTGCTGGCCTGAGTTTACAAGAAAACAGGCACATGTCTCAGCGTGCATGAAGCAACGTCAGTAGATGCCGGTCAAAAGAACAAGCACGTGCTCTTTCAGGGCCAAGGCAGTTCACAGGCAGGGCGAGATGTCTGCAATACAGGCTTGGAGTACAGTGATAAGGTTGCTTTTCATTTTGTAACATTGGTGACAACCTGACGCCTGTAAAACAAGAAACTGCTCTGGTCGATTCCAAGCCACGGACAGATGCCCCTCCTCAGCAAAGACAGATCGTCTGCTGGATAAAAACACCAGCCCTAGCGTCCTTGATTCCATATGACAAGGGGTCAGGTGATGCCTGAGGGACAGATAGAGACTTCCATGATGATGTCGCTATCATGGTCCTGACGTGAGCCCCACCACATGCATGTCAGCCCTCCCACACGCCTCTCCTTTCTATTTGCTCATGCTTGGAGCATGCGCACCCACGCATCCTAGCACCCCTCGACGCACCTTGAAGTACTGGCCATTCTGACAGGTTTCAGGGGCGGCATCAGTGCAGCAGTTACGGATCGTGACGAAGTTGCACTTCCTGGGTTGGATTTCTGGGGCATTGATGCTGGGGTCTGCGTCGCCTTCGTTGTCGGGAGACCTGCAGGACAACAGGACTCCACGATGTGCTGATTCCTGAGATGAGTGCACTTCCAAATGAGAGCTCCTTCGACCTCCAAGATGTCAATCGTCACCCCTTCAGAGGGCACCCGAGCCATTAACGCTGTTCAAATCCATGCCTTATACCCTATGATGGCGGCTGGGGTCCCGGATGAGGCCTCTGATTCGCTGGCTGGGGGCGCGGATGAGGCCTCTGATTCGCTGGCTGGGGGCGCGGATGGGGCCTCTGATGTGCTCGAGGGGCTAGATGCCAGGACACTGGAGGGAGAGGCGGCGCCAGAGCACTCCTGCAGCTTGGCAAATGCAGAGGCCAGGGCGATTGCCGTGGATGTCGCCTGCGAGGAGTGGGACTTCCATGATGATGTCGCTATCATGGTCCTGACGTGAGCCCCACCACATGCATGTCAGCCCTCCCACACGCCTCTCCTATCTATTTGCTCATGCTTGGAGCATGCGCACCCACGCATCCTAGCACCCCTCGACGCACCTTGAAGTACTGGCCATTCTGACAGGTTTCAGGGGCGGCATCAGTGCAGCAGTTACGGATCGTGACGAAGTTGCACTTCCTGGGTTGAATTTCTGGGGCATTGATGCTGGGGTCTGCATCGCCTTCGTTGTCGGGAGACCTGCAGGACAACAGGACTCCACGATGTGCTGATTCCTGAGATGAGTGCACTTCCAAATGAGAGCTCCTTTGACCCACAAGCTGTCAATCGTCACCCCTTCAGAGGGCACCCGAGCCATTAACGCTGTTCGAATCCATGCCTCATACCCTATGATGGCGGCTGGGGGTCCGGATGGGGCATCTGATTCGCTGGCTGGGGGCGCGGATGGGGCCTCTAGTTCGCTGGCTGGGGTTACGAAGGGGGCCTCTGATGTGCTCGAGGGGCTAGATACCAGGACACTGGAGGGAGAGGCGGCGCCAGAGCACTCCTGCAGCTGGCCAAATGCAGAGGCCAGGGCGATTGCCGTGGATGTCGCCTGCGAGGAGTACGGCGGTGGGCTGGATTTGCGTATACTCAAGGATGCGGATTCTAGTTTTGCAAAGGTCTTGTGTCTTATGATGCCACAACCAATGAGTCCACAGATGTCCTGAGGGTGGAGACACTCCCCGCAGGCAACTTAAAAAGCCTGTTCTCCAGGGTCCACCTCCCATTGCCACTCGCACCGCAGCTGTGGCGGCACCATTGGCGATGGTGGCAGGACTCTCTCCGTCTGGGTTGCACTCAAGTGCAGCAGAAGGAGCAAGCGCAGTGGCAACCGATTCTTCGATGCTGGATGCGGTGGTATCCGCTATGGCCTGGGCGCCGTCAGCACAGCATGTGGCGCTGCCAATCGCCGTAGCACTAGCCTCTGCTATGGGTTTTGCAACATCCACTGGCGTCATGGGTGGACTCGCACAGGTTCTTGCTCCGGATCCAGAAGACGTGGAGAGCTTGTCAGCATAGACTCTTGATGTGGCCTGTGATTAGAGGTTGTGGAAGTTGTTGGGTCTTTGATCAGTAGGTGGAATGACAAAAGAAGTGCAACTCATGCAGGTGTGCAGTGTAGCCCCCGCAGGAGCGCACATTCCCACACATGCATACTGGACATCCTCGAGAATTTCTCGCACGGTGCCGCGGTGCTCATGCCCATAATCTTCTCACATGACCCCCCATCACACATCTCACCGTAGCGACAGCCTCCGCCACTGCCTCTGCCTGGGCTTGGGGACTGGCACCCCCACAAACATCCGCCACAGCCATGGCAAGGGCAGAGGCAATGGACTCCTTGAGCTCTGTGACGTCAGGAGCCGAGGGATTGATAGTCATGGAAGGGCTGGACTGTGCCTTGCCTTGCAGCGCCGCGACGATGGCATTGGGATCGGTGATCTGGGCTGGAGGGATCTCGGCCCCGGAACCCTCGCCGAGGGCCTGTGGGAGGGGAATAAAGGGTAGGACTGGGGCGATGGCTTAATGGAGCATGTTGGGGGCATGGAGACACGAGCAGTGCTGCAAGTCTCCAATTGGCAGCAAGACTGTGCATGCCATCCAGGTGTGACCAGTGCAGTGGATACCGTACGAGTCCCAACCACTCGAGGTCAGCACCCATGGTCGGAAACTGTGCTTGCCTGAGCGGTGGCGTCGGCGGACGCTCCCCCCGATGTGACTGCTTCAGCCGCGGCATCGGCAAGGGCATTGTCGTTTCCATCGGCAATGGCAATCGCAGTGGCCTGACATTTCAGGGAAGGAGAGGAATGGATGGCTGTTTATTACTTGCTCAGACATGGCGGCATGCAACCATGCGTTAATCCGGCATGCCTGACCTTTACTCTACCTCTGCTACGGAATTGCTGTCGCCCTGCGCCAGGGCCTGTAGGGTTTACAAAGGAGGAACCTCGAAGACTAGATCGAAATGCATGGTGAGCGGAATCCGTTCCATAAAAAGATCAGCCCCACGCTGGTGCATCCAGATGGCGACGAAAACAATATTCGCATGTCTCATCTGAACTCGATCCCTTCTCACCGTCGCGATGGCTTCCGCAGCTGCGGCGGTGTCGCCGGAAGCCACCGCGGTGGCGATGGCCGTGGCGGTCTCAGATGCCTTCAGATTCCGACGACGGAAACTGCTGGAGTCCCGACCGTGCACGCACATGCACAGGGTCAACAGACCCACAGCGGTCCAGGTAGATGTCCTCATGTTTCCTGTGGCGGGGTGGAGGCTGACCATGATTCATGCATGCATGCGACATCGAAACCGCGGGCGCCATGGGAGCCGGGTACACGACGTACTGGCTCTGAGACTCACCCAGAAGTGAATTGCCTTCCTGGCGTGCACTGGATGGGAGAACAGAATGAAGATCTAGCAGCGCATATCTTTGATTTCAGGTTACGTGGACCCCGCACTAACCGTGCTATGAGGAGTTTATTGCCCCTTCCATGTGAAGGTGCATGTAGGCAAATCCTTCACACCGGGGTGAGACCGCCTGGAGTCAGGGGTCTCGGCCTCGGTGGCGCGAACCCACCCGGCGACCAGCGTCTCGCGCCCATACGAATATCTTTTGGCTCGTTTACTCCCGAGAACAACGTCCAGGGAGGTGTGTAGGGCAGCTGCGGACACCATCGACACGGCGGCAGGGGGGTGGCGAACAGCATGGACAGACGATTGATCATGGGACGTGCAGAGATAGGAACTGCCCTACATAATACTTGGAACTGCATCGAGGAACAATCACCTCTCAGGTGTCGAGTATCGTGTATTCCCAGCGCATTGCTGCTGATGCGGATCTTCATTTAACTTCGCGAGTTCATGCGCTTTCAGCGCGTGATGGCCAGTCCTCCTGTGCTCACGGACGGAGCAGTATCCGCGAAGCTCGGACACTCTCGCTCGATGGGTCACATGGCGACGTCACACCCCTTGAATCGCTCGTTTGTTGTGGGTTTTGAACTTCGGTCCCTGGCATGCTCGACTCAAACCACGTTGCGCGATTTCCGGGGCTGGCAGTACAGCCGCAGGACAGGCTGGCCTGCCCATGCAAACAGTGACGCACTGAGGGAAAGGATTCACACCCCGAGTGATACGCAGTCACTGCTGGATGACATGCAACCCGTGACGCATCATTTAGTGTTCTCCTCCGTTGGTTGGTAACGATCCACGACAAGGATACTCCTGAAGCTCTTAGGATGCTAGGTGATTGGGCCGTAAAGACAGATGCCGATGTTCAGGCCCAGCCAGCTTACAAATCTCACAGGTCAATTATCTGACTGGTTCGCAACGTGGTACTTGAAGTAGTAGGTGGCTTTCCGAGTTTTGGTGACGTGGGAAAGCGAGTCACTTTCTTAGCAAATTATGTAGGGGAGGTTCTGGCTGGGCAACTCAACACCATCTGGGACGATCTTCCGTTCAACAAGAGCAGACGGTGGACTGGATGGCCCCGCCATTGATGATGTCCTTGACACCGTACGCCAGGGGGTTGGATGACGCCTATGAGGGTTGGGAAATCGTGGCGAGATGTGGACCATTAAGCATCCGCTGCCGATGCATCCCAACAGAGCGTCAGGACCATCCCCGGGACCCCACCCTGACACCCTCCCACAGAATGCTGCAGGAGTCGAAACCATGCAATCCAAGGGACCCTGCTGTACCTTGACCCACTGCCCGTTCTGGCAGGTGTCGGCGCCGCTGGCGCAGCAGTCCTGTGCGACAAAGGTGCTGCACTTCGAGGAGGGCGCGGAGCCGTTTGAGGGATTTCCGGTGCCTCCTCCGGTAGTGGGGGACCTGGGTTTGATGGGTGGGGGTCGGCGGAGGGGTGGTGGGGTCCGGGTGGTAGGTGGAGGAGGGCGCGTCTTTTGTGGTGGTGGAGGGTATTGCTGCGACCCTGGGGAACGCGTGGAGGATGCTTTTGCAGCGGGTGGTGGAGGAGAGTACCTGGGAGTGGCGGTTGGCGAGGCGGACGGGCCAGAGGTGGTGGGGCCGGAGGTGGTGGGGCCGGCGGTGGGGCCGGCGGTGCCAGAGCACTGCTGCAGCTGTGCAAAGGCCGTCGCAAGGGCGCTCGCGGTGGCCTTTGCCTGGGAGTGTGGCGAGAGAGGGGGGCTCAGAGGCGAGGCCAGGGTGCGGGTCAGGGTTGAGCCATGGCATCCCCATGCACTGCGCGGTGTTACGAGCCCCATTGATTCAGAAGGTAGCGGGCTGGAACCGCAGGCCATAAGCTCCAAGTACCATGCTGATTCTTACTTCTGTGCCCTCCTTGCCCCCATTCCCTCGCACCGTGGCAGTGGCAGAGGCCTCTGCATTGGCATTGGCGGTGCCCCCATCCGAGGCGCAGGCGTTTGCACTGGCCGCAGCCTGGGCGACCGAGGTCTTGATGCTTGAAGCGGTGGCCTGGGCGATGGCCTGGGCGCTGGATTGGCAGCAGCCGGCCTGGGCGATCGCGGTGGCGGTGGCGTCTGCGATGGCGGTCGCTACGGCGGTGGCGGCGGCGCTGGCGTCCCCACACGCCGTCGCTCCCTTGCCGGAGGTGGTGGCAAACACCGAGGCAAAAGCCTTGGCTGTGGCCTGCCGGCAGAGATGAGAGGGGGAGTTTGGAGAGGTGAGAAGGGGTTGCGAAAGGTGCGAGTATCCCAGCATGCAAGGATCGATCAGGCAAGTGCAGATCCACGAAGGTGTTCTGCTTCCAGCACAGGACGATGAGAGAAGACCACATTGCAGGACGCCCACGCACGGTAAACCATCCATAGATTTCTGATGGCCCCCACTTCCCTCGCCCCACACTATCCCTTCGACCATCACGTATGAACTCCCCTCACGCCCTCACCGTGGAGACAGCCTCGGCCACCGCGTTCGCCTGGGCCTGGGCGCTGCCGGCGCCGCACACGTTGGCCACGGCGGTGGCGACGGCAGAGGCAGTGGCCTTGTTGACCTCGCTGAAGGCCGCAGAGTTGGCGGTGACGGAGGCGCTCACGTCGCCGCCGGAGCCGTCGTTGACCGCCTGGGCGACGGCATTCGCGTTGGTGATGGTGGCAGGGTCGACCTTGGTGCCGGCCCCCTGGCTGACAGCCTGGAATGGAGCAAGGGGAGGGTAGAAACATGTTCAGATCCAGGGCTGCGACGTGCACGGTGCATGCCTTACAAACGCTGTTGTGCCCCTTGCGCTGCAGCACTTGCTTGCCAGATCTTCAGAGCCCGCAGCCACGTTTTGCATCCCCCCAACCGTATGTCCACTGCGACGATGACTTGGTATAATGCATTCCTTTCACCTGAGCAGTGGCCTCGGCCGAGGCATCACCGGAGGCAACTGCCTCGGCAGCAGCATTGGCGAGGGCATTACCATTCCCATTCGCCTGAGCGATGGCTGTGGCCTGGCGAAGGTCATTGGAAGCGGGGGGGTCGACACGAGGGTGACACCAGCCAGGATACAAGGCGGTGGTCTCCTAGAATCACTTGTCAACAACTATGCTTACCTCTGCGACGGCCTTTCCATCGCCCTTCGCCAGAGCCTGCGCGAATCGAGATAAGGATCTCGCACGGTCGGGAACATCATGGCGTCGCGGGATCGGGCGTGTTGAACAGAAGCTCTCCCGGATACCCCAACTTGAGATGACCTCCTACAGCAAATTATTGAATGACCGCCTTTCAAGACCTCTTACCGTTGAAATGGCGTTGGCCGCTGCTGTGGTGTTGCCGGAGGCGACCGCGTTGGCGATGGCCGTCGCGCTGGCAGACGCCTGCAGCTCCCGACGAATTACGGCGGAGTCTCTCCCATGTGCGAGCATGCACAGGGCCAGGAGGCCGAGAAGGGTGCAGGTAATTGTCTTCATGATATCTGTGGGGGGGATATTGGGCCAGGAATGAGCAGAGTATGGGATCCAGGGGGAATGGCGAGGCGACCACTAGAGTCTAGGGTCGAAAACCCTCCCGAACTCACTCAAGAAGAGTTCAGTACCGCAAATTCTCGAACAAGGGAGATTGTAATGAGTTTTACTGTCGCATTGCCCGCCTTAAGGTACACGGTGCTCGAGATTCATGGGTTCGCCACGGGGCAATCAAAGTGGTCCCCATGCGAAGGCGCAGGAAGATGCGGGGCTCTCGGGAAGACGCGTGTATGAAGGTGCCGCGTTGGGAGTTTGAGGCACATGAGACATGTCGATGGTTCGTGATTCGTCCGCTGGATGCTGCTCGATGTTAAGACGGACACACATCGGCTCAGGGCCGCTCGCGGCGCCTCCCACAGCTGTCGACGTCCTGCATGAAGTTTGGCACACTGACGTGGACGACCGTACTCAGCCACCGTCGCCAGACATTTACCGTCGCTGACAGACAGACACGGCCCCCCGCATGCTTTTTGGAGGTCTTTAGTTTTCCCGGTAGCCTGTCCAGCCACACCGCATGCCGATACTAGAGAATGGCACAAGAGGATCTGTCCCGCCTTTGATCACCTGTTTTCTTGGACTTGTCCCACCAGCGACAGCTTCGTCCCGACGCAGGACGATACACAGACAGGCCGCAGCAGGGTCGCTGTCGCGAATCGGAACACGAAGCAGCGGCGCAATTGATAAAGTCCCGCAGCTTAAAAGTGCAGTTCGCAGGCAACTCCAACTCCTTCGTTAGCGGGTTCGAATTGCGGGAGGTTTCAAATCCCCTCACAAGAGGCAATTGGCCTGTTAATGACCTGTGTCAGCCGTAAGACATTCTTCATCCACATAAACCTTGGGATTTGTAATGTTGAAGTTGCAAAAGCATAATTCGAGTGCCGCGCCTTAACCGCTCGGCCAAAGCCGCAGATACATTCTTCGCGGCCTACAGGATTCGAACCTGTGCGGGTTCCCCCACGGCATGAATCGTGATAGAAAGAATGCCATTAAATTCAGTGTATGTACCGTAACAAGACTTTGCAGCAGAAACACGGGCGACTGGTCCCGTTGACACTTCAGCCACTTTCAATAGGGGCACCTTATTCTGTCACGCACGTTCATGTCGACGCGCTATGCCTGAGGTTGAAGCACCTACATCCTCTCATTTGCAGCTGGTCAGCCATGACATGCATGGCTTATTACATACTGTCACCCAAGAAACGACTGCTCAACGATCCTGCCGGTCCTTCCGATCATCTGATCCAACCAGACTTGGCCTGCCGGATAACCTCGCAGCGTACATTTGGAACCTCAATGGGAGGTAAAGTCAAGCTTGTTGATCCAGGAAGAGCTGCTGCCCCGACGTCCATCACCACGCTGGGATACAAACTCCATCTAATCTATGCACAGCATTGGGGAATACAGCATGCGCTGCATAAGCCCCTCTCTCACTCTCGTGGTTTGGTAGGGGTCGGAACCACCTTTGAAGTTTATGACTCCATCCATGGGCAGCGACGTGATCCCATTGCAGTGTGTGTGTATTATTTTGTACTGCCCCTCATGGCCGTCTTTACACACAGACAAGGAACATTGATACCGCAAGGCAACTTCGTTTGTATTTCATATTTCACCGCAAAA